CGCGACTTATCACCGCAGCTGCTTCAAGTCAATCGAGACGTGCCGCGTTTGCACTCGAGATCACTCGCCACTGCGGCCGCAAAGCGGCGGAGATAGGGAGCACTGTCCGAGCGCTTCGTCCTCTTTGGCGGCGGAAGAAAACGAGGAAGCACAGGAGGAAGAAGAAGATGGAGAAGACATTGTCAAGAGCGAGCAAGCCTCGTCGAAGCAGCAGTCCAAGAGGAATCTCTTCTCGGGCCTCTTCTCTTCTTCCTCGACGATCGAGGCCGAGAAGAAGAAGAAGCTCCAAGAACGTAGGAACTCGGCGATTGTAAACATGAGCGCCATCTTAGGTGGTCCCAACGAGCTCTAGATCCATAGATTTCACAGGAGAAAACGTGTAAAGCTTGTCTAGTTTCGCGCTTCTTCCAGTTTTCGATCCATCTCAAAGGTTTTAAGTGACACTCGAGCTGGACGTGTGAGAAAACTATAGAAACTGGACCATGGAGTCGTGCAAGGCTGGTCAAAATTAACATAGTTTGAAAGAAGAACCACATCGATTTAATTATGATAGAGCACGAGGAATGGAGCCAACTTCAGCATTGAATCGCGGGTTTGACTTTAGGCCGAGAATTTTTTTTTCATTTCCTTGATCTTTGGTCTTAGAAAAGCACTGGAAATCTCAAGGCTGGAAAGATTGATCTTTGATCTTAGAAAAGCACTGGAAATCTCAAGGCTGGAAAGAAAACCACAACAAACAGCAACAACCAGATTTGATGATGTTTGTAAATGCCATTGCTAGCCTTGCCTTTGCTGTTGAGTGGATATTTCTAGGCCACCAAACTGGGGGAATTAAAAAAGGTTCCAACTTCCAAGGTTGAAAACTATGATAAAAAAGTTGGTTTTTTTTATCCCATTTGAAAAAAAAATGAAAGATATATAAATAAAAACCAGATTCTTGAAAATTCCCTTTGGTAGAGCATCTGACCAGCATTGGAGAGTACAACAGCAGCAAAAGCCATTTTTTGGTGATTTCTTCCTTTGCGTTCTCTCCACGACAAGGATCAGCTCTTGGTGGATTCAAAGGCAAATTCACAGAAAACACCGCACACATTCTTCACTGTTCATGCGCGTTGATTGTTTGATCGATTCAACTTGTTTTAAAGCTTTTTCTTCTCATTTTTTTTCTCTTTTTCTGCTCCATTTCGCTCAAGCAAGGTAGGTAGTCGTCATTGAATGCTCTCTGTTTCACTCCTTTAATTTTTTCCCCTTTTTTCCCGTTTTTTTTCCCTTTTTTTTTCTGTGTAGTGGTGCGTGTTCTTCTCGATTCGACATGCTATGGTCTCTCGATCCGATCGAGTTTAGCAACAATCTTTCCATCTCTTAAAAAAGAAAGAAACGCAAAAACGCGAAAGATTTCCCCCCCTCCAAAGTTTTTTTTTTCTTTTTTTCTTTCTTTTGCCGGTGTCAAGTCATTCATTCATTGCCTCCTCCAGAAAGAGGAGAAGAAGCAAAGCAAAGAAAGAAGGAGCGCGACCTACCTTAGGTCATTCGTGTTTTGGGGGAGGATTTCGTGCGCGCCCCGCTTTGGATCTGCGCATGCGCCTGGCGATCTGGCGAGCGAGCTGAATTGAGGTGAGTCTAGATTCCAGCCAGCGCCCGGGTCGCCAATCGAGGAAGAGATTGGAGCTGGAACGAGCGAGCAGGCTCTCGAAATCCCGAAATCTGGCCGGGGAGGAGGGGAGGGGCCGAGGAAATCGGCGGGAGAATGCAGGTTAGAAGGAGGGAATAGATTTGGGCAGCAGTGGCGATGGGGAGAATGGATCATGCAAAGCCGTGGTTTCGCTGCTGGTGTTCTAGAGCGCCTTCTAAAACTAGCTGCTAGGACAACGGGAAGAATAGTTTCTTGGTGGAGAAGATGCTGCTCGAGCTCTAGCGGATTGGTAGATCGATGAAATGGGGCAGTGCTATGGAAAAACTGGAGGAAACGAGCAGCAGCACAAGAGCACTGAGGAGAATTCCTACAATGGCTACTCCACCACCACGGGTGGAAACAATTCTCCACATTTCTCCTCCAAGTCATCGTTTAGCAACTCGCCATTCCCTCCGGCTAGTCCCATGCCTTACGCGAGCTCGCCCGCGAATTCCACGCCGAGAAGGATGTTTCGGCGGCCGTTTCCGCCACCATCGCCGGCCAAGCACATCCAAGCCTCGCTCATGAAGAGGCTGGGAACTACGAAAACTAAGGAGGCTGGAGGAGGCGCTGGAGGAGGAGGTGCTGCTGCTGCCACCGCGATCGAGAACGGAGGAGGCCTTGACAAGAGCTTTGGATTTGCGAAGAACTTTGCTTCTCGGTACGAGCTGGGACAGGAGATTGGACGCGGTCACTTTGGACATACTTGCTTCGCGAAAGTGAAGAGGGGCGAGCTTAAAGGCCAACAAGTTGCGGTCAAGATCATCATGAAGGCAAAGGTCTGTATATGTTCCGTACTGTTTATGTTCTTTCCTGTATTAAACTATGGTTTTCTTGCAGATGACCACGGCGATAGCGATCGAGGATGTACGTCGAGAAGTGAAGATTCTCAAGGCTCTGTCTGGTCATCCCAACCTGGTAAAGTTCTACGATGCATGCGAAGACAACCTGAATGTGTACATTGTCATGGAGTACGTTTCGCTAAGATTCCGGCACGCCTTTTTTTGCCTGACATATCTTTTTTTCTCGGATAAAGGTTGTGCGAAGGAGGAGAACTGCTAGACCGGATTCTGTCAAGGTACAGTGGCTTCCACTTTGTTCTTTGGTTTCTTATCCTTGTTTTGTTTGTTTCCTGCTACAGAGGTGGAAAATTCCCCGAGGAGGACGCCAAGGTTGTGCTCTCGCAGATCTTACAAATAGTTGCTTATTGCCATCTTCAAGGTGTCGTTCACAGAGATTTAAAACCAGAGGTGAGGTAAACGTAACTTTTGCCAGGCTGCGAGACTTAATAGATTGTAATTTCTGCAGAATTTCCTATTTACTGCCAAGGACGAGAATGCGCCCTTGAAAGCAATCGATTTTGGACTCTCGGATTATGTGAAACCAGGTAATGAAAGTTTCAGTAACTTGAATAGAAACTTATGAACCTCTTACTTTGTTGCACAGATGAGAAGCTAAACGACATTGTCGGGAGTGCGTACTATGTTGCCCCCGAAGTACTTCACAGATCCTACAGCATGGAAGCTGATATATGGAGTGTTGGAGTTATAACTTATATCCTCTTCTGTGGAAGCAGGCCTTTCTGGGCTCGGACAGAGTCCGGAATCTTTCGCGCGGTCTTGCGAGCAGATCCCAACTTTGTGGAAACTCCTTGGCCTTCGGTATCCACCGAAGCCAAGGATTTTGTGAAGAGGCTGCTCAATAAGGACTCGAGAAAGCGAATGACAGCAGTCCAAGCTTTAAGTAAGTATATTAATCTTCGTGATTCTTATGCTCTGTTCATTTGTCTGTTTTGCTATCTTTTTGCAGGTCACCCGTGGATTCGTGGAGAGCGAAAAATTCCTCTAGACATATTTATTTTTAAGCAAGTCAAGGCGTATTTACGAGCCACACCCTTAAAGCAGACAGCGCTCAAGGTGCGTGTCTACTTCCCATCGCTTCTTCAGACTTTTATCGGTTTGGCTTTTTCCTTTCAAGTGTAGGCGCTGTCAAGGACTTTAACTGAGGACGAGCTGATTTACTTGAGAGCTCAGTTCTTACTATTGGAGCCCAGTAAGAATGGTCGCGTGTCCCTAGAGAACTTCAGAATGGTACTTATTTTACATTTTTCGATTCCCTCGCGTTATAAACTTTTTCTCATGGTGCGCAGGCTTTGGCTAAGCATTCCACCGATGCCATGAAAGAAGCGAGGCTGTTTGAGATGCTGTCTTCGGTTCGTGTAGAATTATAGATTATGCATATTCTTTTCTCGGACTCAACTGTTGTTAACCTTTCACTGCTGATCGGCTGCAGATGGATGCCTTGGCTTCAAGAAAAATGGATTTCTACGAGTTCTGTGCCGCAACCATCAGCGTTTACCAGCTTGAAGCGTTGGATCGCTGGGAGCGACACGCTCGATCAGCATACGAGATATTCAACCGGGAAGGCAATCGATCACTTACAGTCGAGGAGCTTGCAAAGGTACGCTTAGCATTTCTCTCGTGTTTGCGAAGTAAACTCCGCGTAACTTTCACAGGAACTGGGACTATCTCCAAACTCGCCAGCGCACGTTTCACTCCACGAATGGCTCAGGCCCGTGGATGGCAAGCTCAGCTTCTACGGATTCACGAAGCTCTTACACGGAGTGAGCCCCCGCTTAAGTTCCAGGCCGAGATAGACGACGCCTCCCATTTCGATTTTTTCTCCGCAATTTCTGACACACTGGAGCAATGGTTGATCGTCAAAGATACCATCCCAAATTCACAGGTTCTTCGCCCTATTTTCCAACTCTTTGATTTTTGGGAATGTAGCAACTGTTGAGAGCTTTCCTTCCTGTCCTTACGTTTGCTCTCCATTCAGAGCAGTGGAATATCCAGCAAAACTTGTTATCTGGGGTCCAGTCCAGGAAGAGCGTGGCACGAAAAAAAGCGATGGAATTCCTGGTTTAGATCCGCCCGTGTTCTTCACTTTGGATTCAACACGGAATTCACAAGCAACTCTCGGGAGTTTGACTGTGTCAAGATATTTCCCTTTTGACTCGGCAGGTTCTAGACCACAGCCGCACGATCGAATTTTGTCCCGTACGAACGTGGACATCGTGGCCGTTGTTTAAGTCAAACCCCGTCTCTTCAAGGACTACGAGGGCAAAGCCGAAGCACACGCCGTTTGACCCGTCCGGTCCACAGGTCGATTGGGTTCCGCGTTGTGAGATCCGGTCATGACATGCCCGCCACAAAACGTACGCGTAGAAGGTACAACGACAAAGTTTTGAAAGAGAGGGCAAATATCTCGCGAGGAGGTATATTCCCCGGCGCACTGGAGTATATGCCCGTAGGAGGACCTCCTTCCTGGGATAAGACCTCGGGATCCACGATGGGTTTGAGAGGGATCGCGAGAGAGTGCGCGTTCTCCAGGGCTAGGCTAGGCTAGGGATCGATCGATGCGCGAGTAAGGCGGCGAAATCTGGGAGCGCGTCAATCGGCGTGGCGGAGCTGCATTGTGATCCTTGGCAGAGCGGCTGCGGCGCTGGGTATTTAGGGGATTTGGCGCTCGATCCGGCCAGAGCATGGCCGGGAGCTGGGGCAGCGGCGCCTATCTTTTCGCAATGCAGATCCTCGTCGCCATTCTCGCCATGTCGGTCGCTCTTTCCGCCGCGGACGCTGGCGCTGCTCCTCGGCACAGCAACGCGTACGCGACGATGATGTACATGGGGACGCCCCGGGATTACGAGTTCTTCGTGGCGATCAGGGTCATGATGCAGTCCCTGGCGCGGCACAAGGCCGATGCCGATCTGATCGTCATCGCCTCGACGACTGTGCCGCCGCGCTGGATTCGCACGCTGTAAGTGTCTATCGATCCGATCCCTGGCGAAATATCGCTTGATCTGGCAGCTGAAAATCGTTTGCTCTTCAGGAACAAAGAGGGCGTCAAGGTTGTCTCGGTCACCGATATCCCAAATCCATACAAGGGGATGGATGGATTCAACGATCGATTCATGTTCACGCTCAACAAAATCTACGCGTGGTCTCTCACAGACTACGAGAGAGTGGTGATGCTCGACGCCGATAACATGTTTTTGCACAACACGGACGAGCTCTTCCAGTGCGGGGAGTTTTGCGCGTGCTTCATCAATCCCTGCTACTTCCACACGGGCCTTTTCGTTCTCAAGGTACGCAAGCGCGATCATAAATGCGTAGGAGGCAGTGAAGTTTGCTTCTTAGATCTCTTTGTTTTGTGTGTGTGTCTGTGTCTGATAGTTTCGCTTTGGCAGCCTTCCAACGAGACGTTCCAGGACATGCTCGAGGTCATAAAGGAGGGAAGAGAGAACAACGATGGCGCCGATCAGGGGCTTTTGACAGCCTACTTCAGTGATCTTTTGGAAAGGCCACTGTTCACCCCTCCCCGAAATGGATCGAAATTGGACGGCTTGTATCGTCTTCCTCTCGGATACCAAATGGACGCTTCATATTACTGTAAGTCCGGCTGTGGTGGTGGTTTTTTTTTCTTCTCTAGTTTTTTTGTTTGGTGCGCTCGCTGGCGTGCTGGATCTTTCATGTACTTATCCTTTACGTTACCAGATTTGCGTCTCAAGTGGAATGTCCCATGCGGGCCAAACAGCGTAATCACATTTCCAAGCATTCCACTACTCAAGCCATGGTATTGGTGGGCCTGGCCGGTCCTTCCTCTTGGACTATCGTGGCATGAGCAGCGAAGAAAATCCATCGGGTATGTATGGAATTTTTTGTCAATAGTGCTGGTACTTACATCGATACGATATATATCAGATATGGTACCGAGATTCCGATCCTGGCAGCGGAATCCATTTTCTACCTCATAACCATGACTGTCTCGTTAGTCATACGCCGCAGATTTTCGTCCTCCGAGAAAGTCCCCCTCAAATCGTGCCTAGGTAGGTGTCCTTGTCCCGATCTAACACAATTCTTTTATCGCCTAGTTGCCAAGCTGTCCCCGGTTGTCGCCATTGTTATGTGCTTCGTCCTTCCCTTCTTTGTCATCCCGACTACAGTTCATCCTGTGATGGGCTGGAGTGTCCTGCTTCTCGGTTCTCTTTCCTACTTGGTCATCACTGCAAACGTCTTCCAGTTGCCAGTCTTTCCCACCATGACTCCCTGGGTCGGTATCGCTGGTGTCCTCGTCGTCATGGCCTTGCCGGTCTACGTGAATGGGATTGTGAGAAGCCTCGCCATTGGAACTTATGCGTTCCTTGCGGCGCCCTTCTTGTGGTGGGCTTTGAGAGTCGTGGCTAGCAGGGAGGTGGGGTTTGCGAGAGAGGCACTCATGGCCTATGGGAGGCAAGAGCCGCAGCAGTCAGCCGAGATGATGAAGCTTTGTTGATTGATGGAGTGAAGAAAACCCGGCGGCACGACGATGAGAGCGACAAGAACTGCTGCTGCTACTAGTACTACTACTTCTGCGACGATCAGAATTATATCCAGGTTCGGAGGGAGGTGTGTTTTTGTCGTAGCGGCATTTTTCTTTTACTGATTTTCTCTCTAACCATTTTGACACGGCTAACTACAAAGTGAAGGGAGGAGATAGAAAGAGAGAGAGAGAGGGGAGAGCTCCCAGCACTGTACGTGTGCTCGCTGGTGAGATTTGCTCCTTAAAGAGCCTGCTTGCCTTTGCAGGGGAATGTTTCAGGCACTTATGGTCCGATAGCGAAAAGAAAAAGCTTTAATTTTGTTCTCTCTCTCTCTCTCCGTCTCCGTCGTTGTTTGGTGTTTCGGAAACACTGCCGCGACTTGCGAGGTTGGTTGGCTGTTTGTTTGTCCATCTAGCTTTAACAATTGTTTGTGTGTTTTTGCTTTCTTTTTTCCAGGGAGCGAGAGCGTCCTCGATGCGCGAAAGAATCAAATAAGACTTAGTACCAGTGACAGGTATGGCACGCATTTGATCCGCTCGCTCGCTCATGAGATTCAAGTCACGACGAAATCGTGATCCTTGCAGGTGCGAAGTAGCCCACGCAGAGGGAGCTGGGAACCAAGGCAGGCTAAACGTAAGGGACGAGAGACCAGCTCTGAGACTAATTGTTTTCTCCAGCAAAGCACAGCGTTGCTTGATGTAAGCCGTGGAATATAAATCGGTAAGCGCGCGCATGCGTGGGATGAGACGGTTGGAAAACGACGGGAGGAGCGACTGCCGTATAAGATCGCCGCCCCCGGCTGCCATGCTGATCTCTCCTGCTAACACTGCATTTTCCTTCTGGCTTTTCTTCAAGTTCTAAACAGCAAGGGATGGCGTGATCAGCTTTCACGATTGCAAGCTTGATCCAGAAAAGGATGAAGTTTTCTAACAAAACTTAAATGAAGTTTTTAAGTCACATTAGCAGGTTTCTAGAGCTGTTGTTATATCAGTTTGTGTGTCATTTTCGTCCTCTGGAATGCTTGGAATTTTCAAATTGAGAAAAAAAGGACATTATTTCCATAGTTTATGCCATTGTTTTTTTGGGTTAAGTATACTTTCTAGAACAGGAGAGCATTAAAAGTAAGGAAGTGAAATGTTTGAGGTGGATAAAGTTGTGCATATGCCAAAAATGATAACTAATGATCATAGATTGCAAAGAAGTGAAATATTTGAGGTGGATAAGATTGTGCATATGTTACAAATAGTAGTCAGTGATCATGAATTGCAAATTTTTACTGATAAATCCTTCAAGCATGGAACTTTTGAAGGTTATAGAGAATTCATTTCGACAATTTCTATGTAGCTCATTTGTGGGAAAAAGCCAAACAACAATCTACATACAAACTTCACTATCATATTTGAGTTGTTAGGTTTGTGTAAGGAATCAACTCCCCGAGGTGTTGTAGGCTAAAAGATCCTCGAAAGCATAACCAAAATGACAAAGAGTTCATCGGATGGGACCGAGTTGAAGATCGAATCCAAGACCGACTCTGAAATCGAGTTCGAAATAAAGTCCGGGATCGAGTTTAAGGCCGAATCGGAAACCGAGTTCGAGATGGAGTTCGAGATCCGAGATCGGGTCCGAGATCGAGTCTGAGGTTGAGTCTGAAGTCGAGTCCGAGATTAGGTCCGAGATCGAGTCTGAGATCGAGTCTGAGACCGAATCCAAAGTTGGGTCCAAGATCGAGTCCGAGACCGAGTCCGAATACTAATACAGGTCAAGGGGTGAAAGCCCAAAGCATGCGTCTCCCGGGGGGGGGGGGGGGTTCCAAAAGTATAGTAGGGATAGTGAGGTCTAGGAACCAGTCTTGAAGGAACTCTCCAGTGGTGCTTCCAAACTGACTTGAGGTTGAGATTGGGGCCAAGGGGCCTTGGGTGGGAGTGAACATGGACTTTGGTGGTGCCGAAGGGGCCACCCCAAGAAGTGCTCAAGAGCAACTCCCACTCCCAAAAGGGAAACCAACTGCAATGCTCCCAGCTCATGTGGAGTGGTGCCCCATTTGAGTACTTTGTGGCTCATTGGTCCTCGCCCTTCCTAAAGGCTTGGGTCTTCCCTTTGGGATGGAAGTGGGGGGGTAGAGGTACCCATACTGGGGGTAGAGGTACCCATGATCACTCATGGACGGATGACTCAGTCTTTGAGAGATGAGACTGCAATGTAGGTGGTGTCAGACCACTGATGTAACCAAGGTGAATAGGCATGGCCTTAGCATAATGGGCTCATATGTCGGTGGTACCTTGGGGTGTCGGTGATGGGATCGGACACGTGGAGCACTTGGACTAAGTGCAAAGGTTGAGTGGCGGGGATGCCATTCTCAGGGCTAGCAAACCCAAGTCCAAAATAAGATTTATGGAGGTTGTGAGTGAGACACCTCCAAGTGGGTCGGAGGTGTGGTTAAGTGACTAAAGTAGAATGGAAAAATTAGTCACTTACACTCAAGCAATTCCCAAATACAAACCAAAGCCCCCACCAGTCTTCAAGGGAGTGAACGACTATAAGTGTAAGCAACCAAAGGGAACGACTCGAGAGACAATCGATAGGGGCTTAAATATAGAGGGAAAGGGCCCATGTGTGAGACACAAAATCCCTAGGCCCCAAAGTGGAGCAGGAAGGGCGCCACGTGGTAGTGGCCGAAGCGAAAGCCAAACGAGCATAACACGTTTGGACTAAAAGCTCCGACTTGAAAGGTCGAGAGCGGGAGTGAAACTCCCAACAAAGTGCTCGAGAAACAAGCACAAAGAGAGCAATAAGCGAGGCTCCAAAAAGGGACCCAAAAGGACTAACACATGACACGTGGAAGAGTCCGAGATGGACCCGAGTTGGAGTCCGAAGTGGAGTCTGAGAAGGACCCCGAGATGGAGTCCTAGGTGGAGTCCGAGGTGGATCCGAGATGGAGTCCGAGATGGACCCGAGATGGAGTCCGAGATGGAGTCCAAGATGGACCCGAGATGTAGTCCGAGATGGAGTCCGAGATGGACCCGAGATGGACCCGAGATGGAGTCCGAGATGGAGTCCAAGATGGACCCGAGATGTAGTCCGAGATGGAGTTCGAGATGGAGTCCGAGATGGACTCAAGATGGACCCGAGATGGACCCGAGATGGAGTCTGAGATGGAGTCCGAGAAGGACCCGAGATGGAGTCCGAGGTGGAGTCCGAGATGGAGTCCGAGATGGAGTCCGAGATGGACCCGAGATGGAGTCCGAAGTCGAGACCGGGACCAAGACCGGGACCGAGACCGAGACCGAGATCGGGACCGAGACCGAGACCGAGGCCGAGGCCGAGTCCGAGTCCGAGTCCGAATCCGAGTCCGAGTCCGAGTCTGAGTCCGAGGCCGAGTCCGAGTCCGAGTCTGAGTCCGAGGCCGAGTCCGAGTTCGAGCCTGAGAGGGTGAAAGCCCAAAGCGTTCGTCTCCCAGACCCTGGGGGGTTTGGTGAGCTCCAAAAGTATAGTAGGGGGAGGACTGCAGTGGAGCCAGTTTGGCCCAGGAAGGCCGGACCCAGTGTTGGGTGATGAGCTGCCCACTGGGAAGTCCAAGACTAGAGTGAACACAAACCGACAAGTGGGGTAGCTTGGTGAAGTGTTCAAGAGCCGGCTCTAGTTCCCCCGGGAGATCGACTGGCCGATGCTCCCAGTCCAAGTGTGGGTGGCACTACCTACTTGGATACCTGGTGTGGCTCAACGGAACCTCGCTCTAAGCCTATGGCTAGAGCACCCAAAGGCAGAAGGCGAGGAGAGTACCCATGAGGCCTGCGTAGAGCCACGGTGTTCCGAAATGTTGTCCCAAAGGCCCAGACTGTGGAAAGGAGGAGGAGTAATCCTCTAGTGTAGTGACCAAGGATACAGTCGAGTGGTGAGGAAGTCCCAGAGGACCGTGGGACTTAGTGGTCGGGCCTGTGGGCCTCGATCCAGTGGCAGTGTTGGCGAACACGGCCATGGGCAGAAAGGGACTTGGTGAAAACCGGAAAAGGGATATTGGGGAAGGCTATTCCCCATGTCTGTGGGCATCCCAAGGATGTTAAGGAGTGGATCTAGAATGATCACTCATGGATGGATGGCCCAGTCCTTGAGAGATGGGACTGTGATGCAGGTGGTGTTAGTCCACCGGTGTGACCAAGGTAAAGGGGCATGGCCTTAGCGTAACGGGCTGAGATGTCGGTGGTGCCTTGGGGTGTCGGTCATGGGATCGGACACGTGGAGCACTTGGATCAAGTGCATAGGTTGAGTGGCGGGGATGCCATTCTCAGGGCTAGCAAGCCCAAGTCTGAAATAGGACTTATGGAGGTTATGAGTGAGACTCCTCCAAGTGGTCAGAGGTGTGGTTAAGTGACTAAAGTAAAATGGAAAATTTAGTCACTTACACCATGAACAAGAGTGCACCTCCTTTTCCAATCGATTAAGGGTCTTGGGATATTTGGGGTTAAGCGTCCTTGGGTTTGAATAGTGCTAGGCTAAGTGACCTCCCGGGAAGTCCAAACTCAGGAGTTTACATTTGGTATCAGAGGGGTCTCAGGTCCAACTCTGTTGGTAGGCTAGGGGAATCGCACCACATGTTGATTGACATCTGGCTGGTCCAATTTGCTCTTGCTATGCTCGACCCGAGGGGTAGGGTGTCAAGAGAGCAGGGCTCTCGGGAGAGCTGTGGCTCTTAGCTTCCGTTCACGAGGGCGTGAACTTGCAGGGAAGAGTGGTGGATTGATATCTAGCTGGTCCAATTTGCTCCTGCTGGGCTTGACCCGAGGGGTAGGGTGTCAAGAGAGCGAGGCTCTCGGGAGAGCTGTGGCTCTTAGCTTCTGTTCACGAGGGCGTGCGTGAACTTGCAGGGAAGCATGGTGGATTGTAAGCAACCAAAGGGAATGACTTGAAAAACGATCCATAGGGGTTCAAATATAGAGGGAAAGGGCCCATGAACAAGAGTGCACCCCCTTTTCCAATCGGTTAAGGGTCTTGGGATATTTGGGGTTAAACGTCTTTGGGTTTGAATAGTACTGGGCTTGGTGACCTCCCGGGAAGTCCAAACTCAGGAGTTTACAATAAGGTGGTGGAGGATTGATTTTACAATATGGAGGACTACTTCCGAGCGTTGCAGTTACCGAGCTCAGAGAAGGTCCCATGTGCAAAACCATACATGGCAAATAATGCTAAGTCTTGGTGGAGAACGACGGAGGCCAACGAAGGACCGGTGGCCACTTGGGAAATGATGAAGGCGAGGATCCGCGTGACATACGTTCCTCCGAATGCTACTCTGCACCTAAGGGATGAGCTGAGTAGGCTGAAGCAGATCAGAACCATTCAAAAGTATGTGAATGGATTTATGGCAAAGAGGATACTGGTCACAGATATGGGTGATATAGATGCGTTCCATGCCTTCATATCAGGCTTGGAAACCTGGGCTCGCAGTGAGGTGATGTATTGGAACCCGACCAATTACAAATAAGCTTTGGATGTGGCTATCAAGGTGCATTTCAACAATAACCTGCGAAAGGGGAACACAACGGGGTCGGGGTCCATGTTTAACAACACCGCCTTGGCTTTTTTATCCGTCCAACACCGCCTTGGCTTTTGCTAAGTTCCCTTGCCAAGGTTCTCGCCTATGGTACCAGCTCCTACTTGGTCTCAGCTACTCACTGCACGAGCAACAGAGTGTTAGCCATCCATCCACGGATTCCCAAATCACTCCCAATCCCCCTCCCCGGGTTAGACTGGACTTAAGGTTCGGCTACACTCCCCGCAAGCACAGGCAGCCAAGCACACCAAGCTTCCAGGTTCCTAACATCCTTTGGTACCACAAGACTTGATCATGGGACCCTCTAAATCCCAAGTCTTGAGTGCAACACTTGCTTCGGGAGCTGAGTAGGCTGAAGCAGATCAGAACCATTCAAAAGTATGTGAATGGATTTATGGCAAAGAGGATACTGGTCACAGATATGGGTGATATAGATGCGTTCCATGCCTTCATATCAGGCTTGGAAACCTGGGCTCGCAGCGAGGTGATGTATTGGAACCCGACCAATTACAAATAAGCTTTGGATGTAGCTATCAAGGTGCATTTCAACAATAACCTGCGAAAGGGGAACACAACGGGGTCGGGGTCCATGTTTAACAAAGGGGCCAAACCAAGGGGAATATATAGCAAAGGGAAATTCAAAAAGAGTTTCTCTAAAAATGAGTCCTCGGGGTTCCATAAAGGCAAATCTGGTGGCTAGCGAGCGGCTATCAAGGTGCATTTCAACGATAACCTGCGAAAGGGGAACACGACAGGGTCGGGGTCCATGTTTAGCAAAGGGGCCAAACCAAGGGGAATATATAGCAAAGGGAAATTCAAAAAGAGTTTCTATAAAAATGAGTCCTCGGGGTTCTGGAAAGGCAAATCTAGTGGCTAGCGAGCGAGTACGTAGGGGAGTCAAGCAAAAAGAGACAAACCCACGGATAAAAAGGGCAAATCGGTTAGTAACGTGGGAAACAACGTGTGCTACAACTGCGGTGAAGCGGGACACTTTTCGAGGGAATGTCCCTACCCAAAGAAGGCCAGAGCCAATATGGTTATTAAGTCGGGTGAAATCCAAGCTGAGGTACGTGATCCAATCCCTAACTCAAAGTTACTCATTACACGAGCAACTTTGGTAGAGAGTCGTTCACGACATCTACTAGCCCTCTGAGGGAAGCTCGAAAGTAGCTTTGTTAAGATCTTTATTGACACTGGTGCTTCGGATAATTTTGTGGCTGCAGACATAGTCCGGCAAGCTAGACTAACGGTGTAGCGGCTGGGCGAACCAAGGACTATAGAGTTTGTTCAAGGCAGCCAAAGCACCGATGAGGTACTTCGACAAGTGAGAGTCGAAGTAAGAACATGGAAAGTAGACATAGATTTCACCGTGTTGGACATGGCAGGATTTGACGTGATCTTCGGGATGGATTGGTTCAATCGGTTCGTGGTAGCTCTGCATGGACAAAATAGGAACCTTGTGGTACTAGTGAATGCCTAAGGAAGAAGATCCAGGGTGGAGGCCCAAGATCTAAAGGTAGGGCAATGCAAGGCTAAAGATTCCTGTTTAAACCTGGTGTCCAACTCACTAAAGGAACCAAGGCAGCATTTTTGTACTTACTCTCAGTTAAGAGTGACAAAAAGGTGGGAAAAGAAAAAGTACCTTTAGTAATCCAGCGGGTGTTAGAACAACTCTAGGATACCATGCTAGAGGAGCTACTAGCGGGGTTGCCCCCCGCACGATCGATAGAACATAAGATTGAGCTAGTCGAGGGTGTTGAGGTGATGGTTCGTCCCCCCTATTGTTTGAACGAAAAAAAACTCGAGGAGCTCAAGTGCCAACTAGAGGAGTTGGTGGACAAAGGGTATGTTAGATTGAACAAGTCGCTGTATGGGGCACCGATGTTATTTGTGAAAAAGAAAGATGGATCTATGCACATGTGCATAGACTACCAGTTGCTTAACAAGTATACAAAGAAGAACAAGTACCCTTTGCCAAGGATCGAGGACCTATTTGATAGGTTGGGAAAGGCAAAATACTTCTCAAGGATTGATCTAAGGTCAAGATACTACTAAATCAAGGTAATAGAGGAAGGTGTCGAGAAGACAATCTATCGAACAAGGTATGGGAGCTTTGAGTTTCTAGTGATGCCCTTCGAGCTATGCAATGCGCCGATAATATTTTCAGCGTTGACGAACCAGATCTTTGTACCCTATCTGGATCACTTTGTGGTCATCTATATTAACAACATCTTGATTTATAGCGAAACGCTAGAGGAGCATGCCAAACACTTGACAAAAGTGTTTGAGAAACTAAGGGAACACCAATTGTATGCTAAAGAGAGCAAATGTGACTTTTCTTAACAAGAGGTAAAGTTTCTCGGGCATGTGGTGGGCAAGGACGGGCTCAAGGTGGACCCTGAGAAGGTCCAAGCGATCTAGGATTGGGAGCAACCATCAAATGTACACGAGTTAAGGGCATTCCTGGGGCTATGCAACTATTACCGAAAGTTTATCAAACACTATTCAAGAGTAGCCCTGCCCTTAATAGACCAAACAGGAAAAGGGAAGATGGTATGGACAGCGGAATGTGAGGCAGCATTCGCCCACCTCAAAGGGAAGTTGAGGAAGGCTCCCGTGTTGGCATTACCAGACTTTGGTAAGGATTTTGAGGTAGAAACAGATGCTTCAGACTTTGCGTTGGGCGTAATTTTGAAATAAAACAACCATCCAGTAACGTTCTTCTCGAAGAAGTTAGACAAGGCTCAAAGGAAGTGGGCTGCCCACGAGAAGGAATTGTTTGCAGTGGTCAAGGCGCTCAAGGAGTGGCAACACTACCTTGGGAGACACTTCAAGATTTACATGGAAAATGTGGCAACAAAACACTTCTTGTTACAGCCCGACCTGAGAGGGAAACAAAGTTGGTGGGCCAATGCTTTGGCCGAGTTTGATTGCAAGATTCTATACAAGCCTGGGAAGAGCAACATCATGGCAGATGCACTAAGTCAAAAAGCGAACTTGAAATTGGCAATATCCAGTGCGACAACAACCTTTTGGGATGATGTGCGGACAGCATATAAGAATGATAGTCCAGCACAAGAAGTGTTGTTTTGGAATCTGAAGGCACGGGAAGCTCACCAGAGAGGTGAGCTGCCAACGGAAGAGAAAACGGGTTATGCGAAATACAATGGACTCATCTATTATAAGCAAACGAGGATGTATGTTCTAGAAGGGGAACTAAGGAAGGTAGCTTTAGAAGAGTGCCATGATGGACCTCTTGCGGGACATGGCAGAGTGCCCAAGACAATGGGCTTACTCAAGAAGAAGTACCACTGGCCAGATATAGCTAAGGACATCCAAGACTATGTAAAGACATGCCCAACATGTCAGCAAGTCAAAGCTGTGACTAAGGCTAGTGGGGGTTTGTTACAAAGCATCCTAATTCCAAATTGTCCGTGGAAATGTCTTACGATGGACTTCATCACGGGACTCCCCCCAAGTGAGGGGTTCGATGCAATATTCGTGATGGTGGATCGATTTTCGAAGATGGCACATTTCATACCCATCACAACAGAAGTGAATGCAGAAGGTGTGGCGAAGCTGTTCTTCAAACAAGTGGTTCGAGTGCAGGGAAGGCTAAAAGAGATTATCTCAGATCAAGATAAGATTTTCACCAGTAGGTTCTAGAGAACTTTCTTGGAACTATATTGCACTAAGTTGAAATTCAACACAGCCTATCACCCACAGACAGATATTGGGTATCAAGTCAAGTTTAATGGCACTAACACATTTTGACAGACGGACAAATGGAAAGGGTGAATAGGTAGTTGGAGGATTATTTGCGATGCTATGTCTCAAGAGACCAGACCGATTGGGTAAATCATTTGGGACTTGTGGAAATGTGTTATAAGAACTCACCACATTTGAGTATCGGGGTGAGTCCATGAGAAGTCATCAATGGGCGAGCTATTGAAGGCCCTATGGAACTTGGCATGGCCGAGTATCATGGAAAGTTACCCATAGTGGAGGCATTCACGGCGGAAAGACTCAACATTTGGAATCTAGTGAGGGATTCCTTGGAATGGGCTCAACAAAGGCAAACCAAGTATGCGAACCAGAAGCGCCGGGATGTAGAGTTCCAAGCTAGGGAGAAGGTGTGGTTGAACACCAAAAACCTCAGGCTACAAAGTGGGATCAGCCGGAAGTTGACCCAAAGGTAAAAATGCATGTATTCCTGTAAATGAATATATTTTGAGTTCCTTAAGCAAGTTCGCGGGGCCTTATGAGATTGAGGCACAAATCGGTAAAGTGGCTTACCGTCTCCGACTTCCTCGACATATGGGGAAGATGCACCCAGTGTTCCACGTGAACTTACTCAAGCCATACTTTGAGGATCCGCTTCACAAGGAGCAAGTAAGACCTTTACCTAAGGTTATCCAAGGGGAAGAGGAATATGAAGTCGAGGCCATCCTCAATGCGCGCAAGAGCAAGCGACAAGGATGCGAAGTGAAAGAGTTCCATGTGAAGTGAAAAGGTTTTCCACACTGCGAAATAACATGGGAACCAAAGGAGAACTTAGCAAACATGCGAGATTTAGTGGAGGAATTTCTACAAAGCAGAACTCTATGTACTTATGCAAAGTTCAATTAAAGTATCAATTTGTGAAGTTGAGCAATGGCATATGTTAGGACCCAAAAGCGTGCCGAAGGCAAGCTAATTAGCATGGGTTATCTAAGTCGACCAGGCGTACGGAACTACACCCGACTCCCCGCGGGGATGTCAAATCCGTAAATATATTCTACGGAGGTTGGGTTCAAGTCTCAACCCCCTAGTAAAGCAAGGCGTAGTGAGGTGAGGGGTATAGCGACACCTATATTCCATTGTCATGAGCTCTTGGCCAGGGAGGCTAACTTAGGCACACCACTAAGTGGGGGGATGCCCCCGGAGACATGGTCAACAAGTCGTAGGATAAAAAGAGACATTTGATGTGGGCATCGAACTTCTTCTATGGGTGGTAGAGTTGTAAGGAACCAACTCCCCAAGGTGTCGTAGACTAAAGGATCCCCAAAAGCATGACCAAAATGACTAAGAGTTTATCGGATGGGACCAAGTCGAAGATCGAGTCCAAGACCGACTCTGAGACCGAGTTCGAAATAGAGTCCAGGATCGAGTCCGAGGCCGAATCAGAGGCCGAGCTCGAGACCGAGTTTGAGATCGAGTTCGAGACCGAGTTCGAGACCGAGTCCGAGATCCGAGATCAGGTCTGAGACCAAGTCCGAGGTCGAGTCTGAAGTCAAGTCCGAGATTGGGTCCGAGATCGAGTCTGAGACCAAATCCAAAGTCCGGTCCGAGATCGAGTCCGAGACCGAGTCCGAGTACTAATACAGGTCAAGGGGTGAAAGCCCAAAGCATGTGTCTCCCAAGGGGGGGGGAGGGGGGGGGGAGGGGGCTGCAGGGGGTTCCAAAAGTATAGTAGGGATAGTGAGGTCTAGGAACTAGTCTTGAAGGAACTCTCCACTGGTGCTTCCAAATTGACTTGAAGTTGAGATTGGGGCCAAAGGGCCTTGGGTGGGAGTGAGCATGGAGTTGGGTGGTGCTGGAGGGGCCACCCCAGAAAGTGCTCAAGAGCAACTCCCACTCCCGAAAGGGAAACCGATTGCGGTGCTCCCGGCTCATGTGGAGTGGTGCCCCACTTGAGTACCTTGCGGCTCATTGGTCCTCACCCTTCCTAAGGGCTTGGGCCTTCCCTTTGGGATGGAAGTTGGGGGGTAGAGGTATCCATACCGGGCTGTTAGGCCACAGTGTTTCGCCTTGGTGTCCTGAAGCAAGTGTTGCACCTAAGGCTTGGGATTTAGAGGGTCCCATGAACAAATCTTGTGGTACCAAGGGATGTTAGGAACTTGGAGGCTTGGTGTGCTTGGCTACTTGTGCCTGCGGGGAGTGTAGCCAAACCTTAAGTCCAGTCTAACCCAAAGAGGGGGATTGGGAGAGATCTGGGAATCCGTGAATGAATGGCTAATGCTCCGTTGCTCGTGCAATGAGTAGCTGAAACCAAGTAGGACCAAGTAGTAGGAGCTTGTACCATAGGCGGGAACTTTGGTGAGAGAACTTAGCAAAAGCCAAGGCAGTGTTGGACAGATAGATGAGGTAAGTTAGTAAATTGGAAAGGAAAAATTTGTGGATTACAATTTGTTACTGTGAGACACAAAATCCCTAGGCCCCAAAGTGGAGCCGAAAGGGCACCACGTGGTAGTGGCCGAAGTGAAAGCCAAACAAGCATAACACGTTTGAATTAAAAGTTCTGACTTGAAAAGGTTAAGAGTGGAAGTGGAACTCCCAATGAAGTGCTCGAGGAACAAGCACGAAGCAAACCGTGAGTGAGTCTCTAGAAAAGGGGACACAAGAGGACCAAAACATAACAAGTGGAAGAGTCCGAGGTGAAGTCCAAGATGGAGTCCGAAATGGAGTCTAAGATAGAGTTTGAGATGGAGTCTGAGATAGATCTGAGATGGAGTCCGAGATGGACCCAAGATGGACCCGAGGTTGAGTCCGAAACAGACTTGAGATGGAGTCTGAGATGGACCCGAGATGAACCCGAGGTGGAGTCCGAGGTGGAGTCCGAGATGGACCCGAGATGGACCCGAGATGGAGTCTGGGAGATGGAGTCCGAGATGAACCCAAGATGGAGTCTGAAATGGAGTCCGAGATGGACCTGAGATGGAGTCCGAAGTCAAGATCGAGACCGAGACCGGGACCAAGACCGAGACCAAGGCCGAGGCCGAGACCAAGCCCAAGCCTGAGTCCGAGTCCGAGTCCGAGTCAGAGTTTGAGTTCGAGTCTGAGGGGGTGAAAGCCTAAAGCATTTGTCTCCCAAACCTTGGGGGGTTTGGTGAACTCCAAAAGTATAGTAAAGGGGAAGACTGCAGTGGAGTTAATTTGGCCAGGAAAGGCTAGTTTGGCCTGGGAAGGCTGTACCCAGGTCTTGGGTACATTGGGTCCTTACATTACTTGTGGACCAGCTTGGACAGACAGCAGCAATCACTTGTTAGTAGCCTTAAAAAATGCTCATATGCTTTCAGAGAATGGGGAACTCTATACCTAGGGAAAGAATCGCGACTACCAGCTCGGAATTCTTGGACTTAAGGATGAGCAACTAGATCCAGTCCCAGTACAATTTCCACAGGCTCTTCATGACAAAACTCCGGTAGAAGTGTTGAGTGTTTCTTGTGGAGCTAATCACAGGGTTTGTAGGCATACAATTGCCACGTGGCAGGCACAAGAATCTGCCACATCAGCGACGCTTTCCCATGACGTGGCAATACATGAGGAGAAATGTGGGCGCCTGCCCACGACTCTTCTTCTTCCCAGCGCGGCTGGATCGATCTCGAGGAGGTCTTGCGCGCTTCAGGTACGCTGATAGATCGATTGTCGATCGATCGCTTTCGCGAGTTCTGGGCCTGATTATTCCAGAACCAGGCGCCGCAGAAGCTGAGCAATGGCTACGCAGGTTTTATGTCGTGGCTCGCGAGCCGGAACGATGATGGCGATCTATCGCACTGGGACTTGGCGACAATCTGGCAGGCAGGTCGAGTATTGGTTTTAGTTTTTTCCTTTTGATTCATTGATGAGTGAGTCTATGACGCAGGGGATTGTTTGCGAGCCGTCCAGTTCGTGCGGGAGAACGCATGCTGGAAATTTCTCTAGACTTGGTCTGTGTTGTTTGGTCCTTTCTGCTTTTCCTCTTAATGTTGGTTCTTGTTTCGCCCAGATGATAGCTCCTAGTGATCTTCCTGACCAGCTCAGCACGGTTTTGCCCAGCACTGTTAAGCCGTGGACCAAACTTGCTCTTATTGTCCTCATGGAACGCTACAAAGGCCAGGCAAGTTTACTCTCAACATTTTCGTCTTCGCTTCGCTAAATTTTTCTCGCAACAGCTCCAGTCGTCAGCTTGGGCACCATACATCTCGTGTCTTCCTGAACCAGCGGGGCTCGACAACACGGTACTCGACTATCGAGTTTTTGTTTCTCAAAAGTTTCAAGTGCGTAGTTTCTTTGGGAGGACACCGAGCTAAGTTACTTGAGGGCGAGCCCTTTATACGGCAAGACTCGTGAGCGGCTGGAAATTATAACAACTGAGTTTGGCCAAGTGCAAAACGTAAGTACTTCGGGTAGTTTTCTATTTTGCCAGCTTTCATTCACTTAGTGTTTTTTACTGTTTTTTTCTTTTCCGAATGGTTTTATTCAAGGAGGAAACTTTTTTACTTTGATGCTTGAAGGATTTTTGTAAGTGTTTCTGACGTACTTGCCTGTGTACTGGAGCAGGCACTTGATGTTTGGCCTCAACTATTCGGTAAAGTGTCTGTTGAAGACTTCATGCATGTATACGCCACAGGTACAGGAAGCAAGCTTGTTTCTTGCTAGTTTTGTTCGTCCTTCCTTTGCAGTTTTTTCTCGTCCACTAGCCATTGGAGAGGACTCGACATTAGTAATGGTGTGTCTCTCTTTATTTCTGTTTACTTCCTTGTGTACAATATAACGCGGCGTTAGCAGATACCAATGCTCGATTTTTTCAACCACAACGCAGCCAGCTTTGCGAAGCTCTCATTTAACGGGCTTCTCAACTACGCAGTTGTAAGATACGCCTGAAGTTCTTTCTTTTTCTTTTCCGTACCACAAGCAGGTCACAGCGGACAGAGACTGTGCTGAAAACGATCAGGTATAGGCAGTGGTCTTTGTTTTGTTTTCATGTTTCATTCGGCTTTGCAGATTTGGATAAACTGTGGTGATCTTTCAAACGCAGAGCTTGCACTTGATTATGGCTTCACTGTGCCTGAAAATCGGTATGACGAGGTAATGAGCGTGCGAAGAGGTGTGGTGCTGAATCACTTTTCACAAACTGCAGACTGATCTGTTGACGCAATTCCCGGAAATGAACACGATAATTAAAGATCAACTTGGCGGAAACACGCTGTAAAGCATTCCTTCTTCTTTGAAGAGACTACTTGTTTGTGCTTCTCAGGGGTCAAAAACCACTTCCAAGGTTCTCCTGTGTGCCTGGAAGTAGCACGGCGAATCGAGACGCATGAAAAATCAATCCTGGTTGGGCCCTTCTCTCGAGCTTTTATCGTTTTAACGCCGTCTCGCAGGAACTAAATCAACACTCATGGAGGTCGAGAAGTAGACGACTTCTAGCTGCCGCCGTCCTAGATGGTGAGCTGAGAGTTTTGAAGAGCGTGAAGCATCGGCTGGATGGCACGCGCCAGGCATAACTTTGGGAGACAAGATCTTTTTCTGGTTTCGTGAAGGCCTTGTTTTCTCCAGGAAAGCACAGCGTTGCTTGATGTAAGCCGTGGAATATAAATCGGTAAGCGCGTGCATGCGTCGGATGAGACGGTTGGAAAACGACAGGAGGAGCGACTGCCGTATAAGATCGCCGCCCCCGGCTGCCATGCTGATCTCTCCTGCTAACACTGCTTTCTCCTTCTGGCTTTTCTTCAAGTTCTAAACAGTGAGCGATAGCGTGATCGGCTTTCCTGATTGCAAGCTCGATCCAGACGAAAGGATGGAGTTTTTAAGTCGAGCTGTTGGTCTATCGGATCGTGCGTCATCTTCGTCCTCAGGGACGCTTCGAATTTCCAAATTAAAGAAAGAAAGGACATTATTTCCATAGCTTATATAAAATGCCATTGCCTTTTTGGGTTAGGTATACTTTCCAGAACAGGAAGAGAGCATTAAAGGCAAGGAAGTGAAATGTTTGAGGTGGACAAGGTTGTGCATACTCCGCAAATGGTAGCCAACGATCGCGGATTGCAAGCGTTTACCGATGGATCCTTTAAGCGCGGAGTTTTCGGAGGTTACGGAGTATTTATCCCGAGAGTTTCCATGCGACTCGCTTGTGGGAGAAGGGCAAACGACGACCTACATACGAGCTCCACTATCACGTTTGAGCTGTTGGGTTTGTTACGAGCCCTCGAAATCTGTTTGGAGATGGAATGGCGCTGGGGATTGTGGGAGCCAATCTTTGTATACACCGACAGTTATGTTTCCCTGACGCTGCTGGAGATGTATGTGCAAGACCCAATAGCCCTGGGTTGCCACCCAAACGCAGATATCATCCAGATGATTGTTTGGCTTGCAAGAACGTCACTTGTTCCAGTTCATTTTTGTAAGGTGAAGGGGCACTACGACATTGGTGGAAATCAGGTTGCAGATGAGTTAGCAAAGATTGGTGCACATCTACTTGCAGGACAATCACAGTTTATTAACACTATAGTCGAGTCACCGTATGGTCAACAGCAAAGCTATTCACGGCCTCAACAATTTGCGATTTATTAAAGAAAACAAACAAAAACAAAACCATTAGCCAGATTTTGTTTGTAAAATGGGGATTAAATGTTTCTAAATGCTAATTTACCTTGAGCATTAAAGTATGTTTTCACCGCCTCCTTGGTTACCCCTTTAAACTTTAGACGAGCTTTGACCACCATTGCATTCGCAGTGTGGCTCGAGCTGGACTCTCCTGCGGCAATGCTAGCATCAATGCATTATAGCACATGTCTGTGGAGGTTTCCAGGCAATGATTTTGGGTGGTAGGGTAGCGCATTAGCTCAATTTTGCCTTCTCTCGTTTGCCATAGTTTGTAGCACTGTTTCCAGCTCAGATCAATCGATCAGAGCAGGGGCCTCGACATACACATTGAGCTGCCTAAAACTCTCAAGGAAAAGCTGCTCAATGACACCTCCTTCACTTGCTACTTTAGTGACAAAGAGAACTCTAGCTGGTCCAAGGTCTGTGTAGGGACGAGTGTGAAAATATGGCTCTGTTTTTTTGTTTACTCTGGAAAATAAGATCTCAGTAACCAAACACTTTGGATTCCTGAGAGAAGAAAGCTAACATTATTGAACTGATGGAGTTTGCCTCCAGAACATTTTCAAGATTGAAGTGCAAGTTTCTGCTTGATACGTGGAGCAAGTTAGTGTTCATTGTTGGAACTCCGTGTTGATCAAGGATGTTGATCAGGGAATCAGCACACATAAGGCTTGAGATATACTTGTGGAGAAGTATACTCTACCTCGGGATACAAAGCAGTGGCTTCAATATCATCCGGAGCCAACTCAAAGCACATAGCTCCGTTGTAAAAAAAGTGATAGATGCGTGTCCACACCTCTCTGAGCTGCAATGGAGTTTGAGCGTCTGCAAAACCAAGCAATCCCGTCAGTAGACCTCGCAAATGAAAGCTCTCACCGTTGATGTGTAGAAGAATCTCCTCCTCGCTCATCCACCTCTTTTCAAGGGTGACCCCGGTCATTTCTTCCCACAATGCTACTTGCTCGTTCATTGTCAAGGCGTTTCCGGGAGGGCGAACGTAAAGAGCCTTGTTGAGTGTTCTGGGATCATCGACCGACTTGAGCAAGTAAGTTGCGAGGTCCGTGAATCCGCCAAAGTCAAAAGAGACAAATGCATGATCTAGAAGCAACAAAACTGGTACCTTTCTGATCTCCATCTTTGTAAATGCAAACCTTGTCTCTGGGTGGAGTGAAAGTCGGGAAACCGTCCATTTGTACGAAACTGGCGAGCATGATCCCCATGATACAGTTCGCCATGAAAAACGTATGAGGAATTCCTGCTGCTTCGATGGCTCTCCGGATAGCTACCTTGTCCCTATACATGGGGCTCTCGGGAATGGACTGGTCCTTGCAGATCCTATCCGCGTCCATCCCAAACTCGGAGGGGTAGAACTTCTGGAGAAGACAACTGTGTAAGTCGGGATTCACTTGAAAACCGTAAACTTCACCTTGATGTTTCCAGCTTCTTTCACGGCTCTGATGAGATCGTACTGGAGCTTTAGTTGATCTTCCCCAAGAGCGCAGATCACAACATCGACTTGCTGTAATATTCGCACAAGACCCTCTTGGTCTTCCAGAAAGCACTGGTTTCCAAAAAGCAGAAATGTAAGTGAACCAACACCAAGTAACTGATGATAGCTAGTACGGTGTAAATCGTTGCTCCGGCTTTTCTTAGCCCAACCAGGAACCGGACTTTATCAACATGTTTTGACACCTGAAACTCACCCTAGAGATCAAAGAAGAAATGTAGATAACTTGAAAGTACCTGTGGACGAACTAGTATACTAGTTGGATGACCCGATTGAATACTAGCAGTAGCGATGTACTTGCCGATGTATCCCGTAGCTCCAACGATCAGAATCTTGCTCTTGGGCTCCATACTCACTCAAAATCAAAACCAAATGGAAGAATCATCACAGTGGCAGCCCTTTTCATAGTGGAGCTGGCATCCAGGATTATCACCTTACCATCGCGTCTTTGTTTACGAATTCCAATGTTACAAGCTCTGTGTTACCTGAGCTGGTTTGGGCCTCGAAACAATACAAACCCCGTGATTAGCTCCACAAGAAACACCCAACACTTCTACCGGAGTTTTCTCATGAAGAGCCTGTGGAAATTGTACCAAAACGGGATCTAGTTGCTCATCCTTAAGTCCAGGAATTCCGAGCTGGTAGTCGCGATTCTTTCCCCACGTATATAGATCCCCATTCTCTGAAAGCATATGAGCATTTCTTGCAAGAAAAAAAGGAAAGGCTACTAACCAGTGATTGCTGCTGTCCAAGCCGGTCCGCAAGCAATGTAAGTGCATGTTTTATCAGCCATAGCCTCGACAATAGCCGGCTCTTTCCCGTTTTCCAAAGTCCCATGACCAAGTTGGCCATTTCCACCATATCCCCATGTAATCACTTTCCCGTCCTCTAAGCGAAACATAGAATGTTACGTACCAACAAGAAAAAACCAAGGCAAGAACTTACGAGTGAGAGCAGCGGCATGGAATCCACCACAAGCTACTTGCACTAGAGTCACATCTTCCAGAGCGGCTACAACCTTGGGCTTCCAGTTATTCGCTCTCGTTCCATGGCCAAGCTCATGGTTTGCATTCCCTGAACAGAATCAACACCAGTCTCCCCAGTTTTCAGGAAAAGAAAAATACCTCCCCAGGACCATAATTGGCCCGACTTAGTGAGAGCCATTGTGAAAAATCCCCCGCAATAAACCGAGGCGATGGGAACGTCTAGCGCTTGGACCTTCGTCGGCCTGCTCAATGCACCTTCGTCCATGATGTCCGGGTTTCCATGCCCGAGCCTTCCTTCACCCTCGTCTCTTCCCCATGTGTAAAGCTCGCCTTTACAGAAGAAAGAAGAAGAAAACAATCAGACTCCCTCAAGAAAAAAGAGAACTTTGCTTACCACTTTCCGTGACTGCGGCACTGTGCGATCCCCCGGCCGAAACGTGAACTATCCTGTCTTTCCACGGGCCCTCCAACAATCTGGGAAGAAGCTCTCGCTCGTATGATCCATGGCCTAGAGCACCAAAAGCCCCGTACCCCCTGCAAGCTTTGGCATCAACACATCTCAAACGCAAGAACAAGAAAAGAAGAAATCAAAAACCAAGGATGATCTCACGTACCATGTATACACATTTCCAACCTCCGTGAGAGCGATGTTGTGCAATCCTCCAGCGCTCGCCATTTGGACCCTCTTGATCCTGGGATTCACGTAAGGCTTGTACTGGTTAAACTCCGTGTCTATGCCCAGCCTTCCACCATCGCCCTTCCCCCACACAAAAACATCCTGCTCGGCGAAGAGCACCGAATGGAAGAGCCCGCAAGTCACTCCAACGTTTCCCAGCCGGGGCTTGGCCTTCTCCACAAAGAGCGATGGATCCACGCCACCACCACCGCCACCACCACCGGCGGCGGCCCTCTTAAAAACGCCACACCTCTCAAGAACATCCAGCCTCACCTCCTCGGCCTGCGCGGCCACTTCCATGTCCACCGGCATTCTCCCCTGGATTGGAGCCATCCCTGTGAATGCCGCGAGCTTGAGCGTGGAGATTAGCACCGGCAGCTTCTCCGTGTCCTCGGATCCATGTCCGACTTGCCCGTGAGTCCCCCGCCCCCACGCCCATACCTCCAGCTCCGCCGGCTCGCCGCTGCTCACTCGATCCGCCAGATATCCTATCCGCCGCCGCTGGAGCGATCCAAATGCGAGGTGCGATGGCGCTGCTCGCCGCAGCATCGCGCTCCACGCCATCGAGAACCCTAAAACCCTAAACCCCCCACTCGACGATATTCGTAGAATATGCCCTTTAAAACCCTAAAACCCTTGGGGCATTTTTAGGGTTTATGGCGCTCGATGGCGCGGAGGTGGCTGCTGTGCGCGATTCTGAGGCCAGCGCGTGGCTGGATGCGTCGCCGGAGCTTGTGAGCAGTGCCAGATCTTTGTCCGAGCAGATATTCGCGCTCGCTGTCAGGTATTTTCCCAGGAATCCGCTACGCCGGCTGCTTACGCAGGGATTCGACGCCGAGCAGATATGGCAGCAGATCGAGATCCAGGATCGGCAGCTTCTTTCGTCCGTGAGGAGGCAGATCAGGGATTTGGAGAAGTTGGACGCTGCCGGGGATTTTTTTGGATTGGGAAATGCTGTTGCTGAGGAGCAAGAGAACGGAAAGGCGGAGGCTAGTGATGATTCTCTTAGTGAGGAGGACAAGGAAACTGAGGGAGAGGAAGTGTCTGATGAAGAGGAGGAAGAGGCGGAGGCTGGAGTGTCGAATGTTTTGGAGGACAAGTTCTTGAAGCTCAAGGATATGGATAGATTTTTGCTGGATGCTGAGGAAGAATACCAACGGGGGGACGAGGCTCCTGAAAAGGATGAAGAGGAGGATGACGAGGAGGATGACGAGGACGATGGTGCGGATTCTGACGACGGAGATAAAGATATAAGGTAACTCGATATTGATTTTCTCTTGCTGAGACCTTTTTAGATACGAGGATTTCTATGGAATGATCAAGAGCAAGGAAAAGAGCCAAAGTAAAGATCATGACAAGGAACAAGAAGAAGAACCAGATGATGATGACGATGATGATGATGAACAAGGGGAAGACGCAGAAGAAGAGGATAATGAAGAGGACGAAGGACAACAAGAACAAGGAGGTAAAAGCGAGAGGCTGCAAGAAAAATCTTCGCATGAAAAACAACTGGAGAAGACGCAAAAGCGTATCGAGCTGCTGGAAAAGGCTAACATGGATCCAAAAGACTGGACAATGCGTGGAGAGGTAATTCACGCATGTTTTTCCATGTTTCTGATACAAGTTCTCTTAGATTACGGCAGCCAAACGACCCAAGAACAGCGCGCTTGAAGCTGATTTGGATTTCGAGCATAACGCGCGACCTGCACCTATAATCACCGAAGAAGTCACGACTTCTCTCGAAGATCTCATTCGGCGTCGTATAATTGACGTACGCCTTTCTTCGTCGCAAAGGCTTCAACGCTTAAAACTGTATTTTGTTTCAGGGCCTGTTCGATGATGTTGAAAGGAAGCAAAAACTACCAGATGTGCCTCTTGCGCAAAAGATGGAAATCGTAAGTCGATTGTGTGTTCTAAGCGTACAAGTCTAACGTCGAAACTTCTAATTTCTTACAGGATGAAAGCAAAAGCACGAAGGGATTGGGTGAATTATACGAGGTATTTATCAACGTGAAACTTCCTGCAATCTTTTGATCTGTTTCGTTTTTTCTTGTTTCAGGAGGAATACATGCAATCTGCAGGGCTTGCATCAGCTCCGGAAACCGAAGCAGATAAACTGAAACAAGAGGTTTTGTTCTCTTTCACTCATTGTGGCTGTTACCTACTCTCTGCTAATGCAGGCAAGAGATGTGTTTAAAAGGTTATGCATAAAACTGGATGCGCTGGCTCACTTCCATTTCGCTCCAAAACCTGTAAGGACTTCTTCGTGATATCATGTGGCTAAGGCTGGCTGTGCAGGTGATAGAAGACATGGCTGTCAAAGATGTTCCAGCGCTTGCTATGGAAGAGGTGTGTTTGCGTTTTAAAAGTGCTTGAGACTGAGCTCTATGGTTGCTCTAGGTGGCGCCTGTGTTCGTTTCGGACGCATCGATGTTAGCCCCGGAGGAGATGTTTAGCGGTAAAGGAGCAGTAAAAGACGAGAAGGAGCTCGAGAAAGGCGATAGGAAGAGGAGGCGTGCCTCAAAGAAGCGTAAATATAAAGGTGGGATGGTGTCATATCGCAGGAATATGATGTTCTTACGCAAAGTGTTTCAGCTCAACAAAAAGCCCAAGCTCTGCCTAAAAGGCCTCGAGCGGATGACAAAACTGAAGAACAGCTTTCCGCAGCTCCTAAGAAGAAGCAAACTTCCGACTTCGTGAAATCTGCCAAGGTGAGAATTCGCAAGTTTGCAGTCCTGTATTGAGCGTTGTGCTAATTCTGCAGGTTTTTGCGGAGCTTGACCGGCAAAAAACTCAGCCCGCTGCCAAAGCTAAGATTGAAAAGTCGATGCAACCTTCCTCTTTCAAGCTCTAGCCAGTGATCACCTTTGGTAAGAAGCTTTTTTCGCTAGCAATCTGCTCTAACTCCTGTTATTCTGATTAAGGCATTAAAATGTACGTGGAATGGCTCGCAATTTTCCGAGGCTTTCGTCCGGGGAGCTTTCTTCTGATCACTCCTACACTGAGTGATTAGAACGAAAGAATTCTAGGTAGCTTTGAGCAATCCAAAAGGATCTTAAACAAAAATGTAAAAGTCACAGGATGGAACAGGATGCCAAAGTTATGCCTGGCGTGTGCCATCCAGCCGATGCTTCACGCTCTTTAAAGCTCTCAGCTCACCAGCTAGGACGGCTGCAGCTAGAAGTTGTCTACTTCTCGACCTCCATGAGTGTTGATTTAGTTCCTGCGAGACGGTGTTAGAAGGATAAAAGCTCGAGAGAAGGGCCCAACCAAGATTGATTTTTCATGCGTCTCGATTCGCCGTGCTACTTCCAGGCACACAGGAGAACCATGAAGTGGTTTTTGACCCCTGAGAAGCACAAACAATTAGTCTCTTCAAAGAAAAAGGAATGTTTTACAGCGTGTTTCCGCCAAGTTGATCTTTAAGTATCGTGTTCATTTCCGGGAATTGCGTCAATAGATCAGTCTGCAGTTTGTGAAAATTGATTCAGCACCACACCTCTTCGCACGCTCATTACCTCGTCATACGGATTTTCAGGCACAGCGAAGCCATAATCAAGTGCAAGCTCTGCGTTTGAAAGATCACCATAGTTTATCCAAATCTGCGAGGCCGAATGAAACATGAAAACAAAACAAAGACCACTGCCTTTACCTGATCGTTTTCAGCATAGTCTCTGTCCGCTGTAACCTGCTTGTGGTAAGGAAAAGAAAAAGAAAGAAGTTCAGGCGTATCTTACAACTGCGTAGTTGAGAAGCCCGTTAAATGAGAGCTTCGCAAAGCTGGTTGCGTTGTGGTTGAAAAAATCGAGCATTGGTATCTGCTAACGCCGCGTTATAATGTACACAAGGAAGTAAACAGAAATAAAGAGAGACATACCATTACTAATGTCGAGTCCTCTCCAATGGCTAGTGAACGAGAAAAGACTGCAAAGGAAGGACGAACAAAACTAGCAAGAAACAAGCTTGCCTCCTGTACCTGTGGCGTATACATGCTTGAAGTCTTCAAGAGACACTTTACCGAATAGTTGAGGCCAAACATCAAGTGCCTGCTCAAGTACAAAGGCAAGTACGTCAGAAACGCTTACAAAAACCCTTAAAGCATCAAAGTACAAAAGTCCTTGAAACCATTCGGAAAATAAACAAACAGTAAAAAAGAAGTGAATGAAAGCTTGCAAAATAGAAAACTACCCAAAGTACTTACGTTTTGCACTTGGCCAAACTCAGTTGTTATCATTTCCAGCCGCTCACGAGTCTTGCCGTATAAAGGGCTCGCCCTCAAGTAACTTAGCTCGGTGTCCTCCCAAAGAAACTACGCACTTGAAAATTTTGAGAAACAAAAACTCGATAGTCGAGTACCGTGTTGTCGAGCTCCGCTGGTTCAGGAAGACACGAGATGTATGGTGCCCAAGCTGACGACTGGAGCTCTTGCGAGAAAAAATTAGCAAAGCGAAGACGAAAATGTTGAGAGTAAACTTGCCTGGCCTTTGTAACGTTCCATGAGGACAATAAGAGCAAGTTTGGTCCACGGCTTAACAGTGCTGGACAAAACCGTGCTGAGCTCGCCAGGAAGATCACTAGGAGCTATCATCTGGGCGAAACAAGAACCAACATTAAGAGGAAAAGAAGAAAGGACCAAACAACACAGACCAAGTCTAGAGAAATTTCCAGCACGCGTTCTCCCGCACGAACTGGACGGCTCGCAAACAATCCCCTGCGTCATAGACTCACTCATCAATGAATCAAAAGGAAAAAAAAATAAAACCACGAACTCCACCGCTACTCGACCTGCCTGCCAGATTCTTGCGATGTCCCAATGCGCACCGCCGATAGATCGCCATCATCGTTCCGGCTCGCGAGCCACGACATAAATCCTGCGTAGCCATTGCTCAGCTTCCGCGGCGCCTGGTTCTGGAATGATCAAGCCAAGAACTCGCGAAAGCGATCGACAATCGATCTATCAGCGTACCTGAAGCGCGCAAAACCTCCTCGAAATCGATCCAGCCGCGCCGGGAGGAAGAAGAATCCTGGGCGTCGCCACAGGCGCCCACATTTCTCTTCTCCAAATCCAAAATATAGGTTTTCCTACCACGTCACTGCATTGCCTTGCCACGTCATGGGAAAGCGTCGCTGATGTGGCAGATTCTCGTGCTCGCCACGTATTCAGTGCCTGCCATGTGGCATAATCCATTTTCTTGGCGTGTAATTTAGGGCATCTCGGCCGCGATGGAGAGCAAGAAGCGCAAGGCGGAGGAGGATCCGGGCGGCGATGCCGGCGGAGTGGAGCAGCCGGATCTCGATAGCGCCGACGTTCTCAAGCTCCTGGAGCCGCTGGATCGCGGCGCCATGCACTACATCCTCCAGATTTCTTGCTTGCAGCACCCGGCTGTTCTGGAAGAGGTCCGGAGGTACGTGGACAGGGATCCCGCGCACCGCAAGCTCTTCGTGCGGGGATTGGGCTGGGACACCACCACCGAGACGCTCAAGGGCGTCTTCTCGCAATCCGGGGAGGTGGACGAGGCCGTGATCATCCGGGACAAGGCCACGCAAAAGAGCCGGGGATTCGGCTTCGTCAGTTTCAAGCATATGGATGGAGCTCTGCGCGCGCTCAAGGAGCCGAGCAAGAGGATCGATGGAAGAATGACCGCTTGCCAGTTCGCGTCAACCTCTTCTTCCTCCACTCCTTGCTCTTCGATCACTCCATCCATGAATCCTCCCCCGCCGAGGCCATTCATCGAAGACGTCTCCACCAGGAAGATCTACGTCGGGAGTGTTCCAGTGGGGACGAGCGCGGACAAGGTGCTGGCCATCTTCTCCCAATTTGGAGAGATCGCCGAGGGGCCGCTGGGATTCGACCGCTCCACTGGAGCTTCCAAGGGATTCGCGCTCATCATCTTCAGAACCTCCGAGGGAGCGCGCAAGGCGCTGCTGGATCCTTTCAAGACGATCGATGGCCACCAAGTTCATTGCAAGCTCGCCGCCGAGGGGCTGGCCAAGCAGCAGCAAATCAAGCACGATCAAGCGTCCATGGATCATCACCACCATCAAGCCATGCGGCCTTTGATGGCTCCAGCGATCGCTCACAACACCATGAAACAAGCTCCTCATCCTCTCGTCAACTATCACTACGTCCAAGCTCCTCCGCCATCTTCGAGGGCGGGATCATACAACTATCCGGCAGCGTTTGGAGGACAAGCCGCCTCTCAGGGGCAGTATTATGGGATTCACCCCGGCTATGGAGTTTCGTATCCCGCAAGTGGAGTTCCAGTGGCGAGCGTTCCATCGGGTTACAGCAGCTAAAATCTATAGAGAGGTACGTGATGTAGAAACAAAGATCACTTTCTCGCAATAGTTTTGGTTCTTGGTTCGGACTGACTTAAAACAAGTTGGCTCTCCCTCACAGCAATTTATTCTTTTTAAAAAGATAGTTTTAGTTCAATTTTTTAACAATTAGTTCGTTCTTTTGTAAAAGATAAGACTTTTTAATATCAAAATGCATTTGAAGATACGGTCTAGCTCTGATTGCTGATTGATTTCAGCAAATACCGGGATCAAGATCTCCTCTTGCTGTCATGTCGCTTCCGCTAGATCTAATCCAACACGCTATCTTCTACTAGGTCCAACTTGCGTGCTGGATCTTATCGCTCATAAGTTCATACCTGTGTGAGTTCCAGAACATGGCAGCCCTCGTGGTAACTCTTTTGATTGTGCTGCTCCCTCTCCTATTGTGGTGGCTTCGCATCTATCAGAGCAAGAAAAATGTAGCGCCAGGGCCTTTAGCGATTCCACTTTTGGGCCATCTTCACTTGCTGGGAAGGCATCCACACAAAGCCCTGTCTATTCTCTCCAAGAAGTTTGGATCTGTCATGAGCATCAATCTAGGCTCTGTTCCAACGCTTGTAATCTCTTCTCCAGATGCTGCAAAAACCATTCTCTCCACGCAGGACATCTTCTTTGCATCCAGGCCAAGGACTGCCGCTGCCAAGTTTATCTTCTTCAACGCAAGGGATATGGTGTGGTGCGAGTATGGATCGTACTGGAGGACAATGAAGAAGGTTAGTACTCTGGAGCTCTTCACGGCCAAGAGGGTGGAGGAGTCAAAGAAGCTGAGGATGGAAGAGATTTCTCGGCTTGTGACCTCTATTGCTCGGGAGGGTGACAATGGAAGGGTTGCTATTGACATGAATGCCAAATTGTCAATGACTAACATGAACTTGGTGAGTTTTATGGCATTCAGCCAGAGGTTTGAGGAATCCTCATTTGTGGAGCTCTTGCAAGAGGCAATTGATCTTGTGACTAGTTTTGTTCCCAGTGATTACTTCCCCTATCTCAGCTGGATGGATGATTACCTGGGCACTGTTCCAAAGATGAAAGCCGTACAGGGCAAGCTTGACAAGATATTCCAGGCAATCATCGACGAGCACAGACGTGTAAATGGGGAGAAACAACGAGCTCCAGATCTTGTCGATGTGCTGCTCTCGCTGGATGAAGTAGATGACAATGATCGAAAGGGCTTGATCATGGTGAGTGAAAGTCCTAAGATCTTCAGAAAATATCATCTTTTCTTGCTTCTAGGATATGTTTGGTGCTGGAATTGATACCTCTTCCATCACCACGGAGTGGGCTCTCTCAGAACTCATACGCAATCCAGCTTGCATGCTGAAAGCCCAGCGCGAGATTGACCAGGCCGTGGGGTTTGACCGAGCCGTGAACGAAGATGATCTCCTCAACCTCGGCTACGTTAGAGCGATTGCCAAGGAGACCTTCCGCTTGCACCCGCCGGTCCCGCTGCTGATCCCGCACGAGTCAACGCAAGAGTCTCTGGTCAACGGGCTCCGCGTTCCCGCCAGAACCAGGGCCACGGTCAACGTGTGGTCAATCGGGAGGGATCCAAGGTGGTGGGAGCGTCCGGAGGTGTTTGATCCGGACAGGTTTGCTGCGAGGAGTGTGATTGATGTCAAAGGGCAGCACTTTGAGCTTCTTCCGTTTGGATCTGGGCGGAGGATGTGCCCGGCGATGGGCTTGGGATTGGCCATGGTTGAACTCTCACTTGCGAGGTTGATCCAGGGATTCGAGTGGAATTTGCCAGCAGGACTGCAAGAGCTGAATATGGAGGAGGAATTTGGGGTGACGCTCCGGAAGAGAGTGCATCTGAGTGCTCTTGCAATGCCCCGTTTGAAGGCAGAGCTTTACGTTTAGAATGTAATTTCGTTTCCCATCTGTATATCTGTAACTTTGAAAGTTAATCGAGAAAATATCGAAGCTCTTGAAGATTGGCAGGACGGCTGGTTTTCACGATGAATCAAGCGCATAAATAAATAATTTTCTTATGTTTAATCATTCACTTGCAGACTAATCCTAAGATATGTCCTTCTCTATCTTCTTCAAAGTGGTGTTTGAGCTACAAAACAAGAAGATACAGAAGAAGCAACAAGAAGAACCAGATTTCAAGCAGTCCAGGAACAAGGTTTTACGCTAATCAAATTAGTAAATTTGGGATTTGAGCCAGAAGCTAGAGTGGGAAACTTGAGACAAGCGTCTCTCCAAGCTTAACTGAATCATTTTATTGTCTGCGTATAAAACCCTCCTAAGTATGAGACTGGTGTATTGAGATAGGCTGCTTGGATGATAGTTGCCGCCGTTCACCGGCCAACATTATTGGTTGTGGTGGTTGTGGCCTCCCCCATTGCTTGAGTCTTTACGAATCTTGTCCTCACGCGTGTAATTGGGGAGTGGAGCTCCAAAGTCCAAGTTGGCGTTTCCCAGCTTGACATTTTGGAAGGTAAACTCGCCATGTTGCAAAAGGCAAAGATCAGTCATTTTCCATTTATTGGACACCTTACTCTCGTGCCATAAAAAACATTCAGCTTTCGTACCAATGGAAGACATGGCAGCCCTCATTGTAGCTCTTTTGATTGTGCTACTCCCATTATTATGGTGGTGGCTTTGCAGCAAGAAAAATGTAGCCCCAGGGCCTTTGGCGATCCCACTCTTGGGCCATCTTCACTTGCTGGGAAGGCATCCACACAAATCCCTCTGTAGTCTCTCCAAGAAATATGGATCTGTCATGAGCATCGATCTAGGCTCTGTTTCAACGCTTGTAATCTCTTCTCCAGATGCTGCAAAAGCCATTCTCTCCACGCAGGACATCTTCTTTGCATCCAGGCCAAGGACTGCTGCTGCCAAGCATATCTTTTTCAACGCAAGGGATATGGTGTGGTGCGAGTATGGATCTTACTGGAGGACAATGAAGAAGGTTTGTACTCTGGAGCTCTTCACTGCCAAGAGGGTGGAGGAGTCAAAGAAGCTGAGGGTGGAAGAGATTTCTCGTCTTGTGACCTCTATTGCTTGGGAGGGTGACAATGGAAGGGTTGGGATTGACATGAATGCCAAACTGTCAATGACCAACATGAACTTGGTGAGTTTCATGGCATTCAGCCGGAGGTTTGAGGAATCCTCGTTTGTGGATCTCTTGCAAGAGGCGATTGGTCTTGTGACTGGTTTTGTTCCCAGTGATTACTTCCCCTATCTCGGCTGGATGGATGATTACCTGGGCACTGTTCCAAAGATGAAAGCCGTACAGGGCAAACTTGACAAGATATTCCAGGCAATCATCGATGAGCACAGTAAATGCGGAGAAACAACGAGCTCCAGATCTTGTCGATGTGCTGCTCTCGCTGGATGAAGTAGATGACAATGATCGAAAGGGCCTGATCATGGTGAGTGAAAGTCCTAAGATCTTCAGAAAATATCGTTTCTTGCTTCTAGGATATGTTTGGTGCTGGAATTGATACCTCTTCCATCACCACGGAGTGGGCTCTCTCGGAACTCATACGCAATCCAGCTTGCATGCTCAAAGCCCAGCGGGAGATTGACCAGGCCGTGGGGTTTGACCGAGCCGTCAACGAAGATGATCTCTCTAATCTCGGCTACGTCAGAGCGATTGCCAAGGAGACGCTACGCTTGCACCCGCCGGTCCCGCTGCTGGTTCCGCATGAGTCAACGCAAGAGTGCATGATCAACGGGTTCCGCGTTCCCGCCAGAACCAGGGCCACGGTCAACGTGTGGTCAATCGGGAGGGACCCAAGGTGGTGGGAGCGTCCGGAGGTGTTTGATCCGGACAGGTTTGCTGCAAGGAGTGCGATTGATGTCAAAGGGCAGCATTTCGAGCCGCTTCCATTTGGATCCGGGCGCAGGATGTGCCCAGGGATGGGCTTGGGATTGGCCATGGTGGAGCTCTCCCTGGCGAGGTTGATCCAGGGATTTGAGTGGACTTTAGCACCAGGACTGCAAGAGCTGGATATGGAGGAGGAGTTTGGGGTGACGCTCCAGAGGAGAGTGCCTCTCAGAGCTCTTGCAATTCCCCGTATGAAGGCAGAGCTTTATGGAGGGATATGCTAGTATATTCTAGCTGCCATCAAACGCCATAAGCAAAATTAAATCCATTAAAGTCTTTTAAAAGGTAAGCAAAAAAGCTTTTGTTTAGGGTTCTATTGCGGCAATGGGCTGGAAAGAATCGGACTTGGTGGTGGATTTGGATCCTCCGGATGAAGAGTGCCCGATCTGCATCAGCTCGCTCCAAGGTGACGAGGTCGTCGTCGAGCTCTCTCGATGCAACCATCACTTCCACCGCAAATGCGTCACATCTTGGTTCCGCTCTCGCCCTAGCTGCCCAACTTGCCTCCGTCCGTACGGGATCTTCACCGGAACCCAGCCCCGGGGATCCATGTTCGTACAGATGGAGAGCAATTGGAGCTGTGCAGGGTTTCCATTGCACGGTGTTATCACGATTAATTACCACTTCCCAAATGGAATCCAGGTTTGCTCTTCCAACTTAATTCTTATTTATTAATTTTTTCTATTATTATTATGATTATTATTATAGGGGCCGGAGCATCCCAATCCTGGGCATCACTACAAAGGGACTGTACGAACGGCATTTTTGCCTGATAATGAAGAAGGGCGAGATATATTGAGGCTCTTGAAGATAGCATGGAAGCGAAGGCTGGTTTTCACTGTGGGGACGTCAATTACCACAGGTTTAAGTAACTGTGTAATGTAAGTGACTTTTTTTCTTACCATTTAAACTTATAATTAAAATGCAGCTGGAATGGCATCCACCACAAGACTCAGTACGAAGGCACATACGGATATGTAAGTAATTTTCTCTTGTTTACTTAGGTGATGTTTGGTAAATTTTCTTGCAGCCAGATGCGACTTATCTCAGTAGAGTAAGGCAGGAACTCGCTGCATTGGGCGTTTTTTAACGTAAAACTCTAGCTGCCACGTGGACGGTTGTAATTCAAACTCAAATGCGTAGTGAAGAAAAAGAATATTCTTCAGGATCTTAGGGTTTGAGAAGGGCTTTAGTATGGACGAGCGATGGCGCGCGCCCGAGTGGCTCTATCCGTGCTTGATCGCCGGATCGGGATGTGCTCTAGCGCTGCGGGCTTCGATCTCCAGGAAATATGGCGCCGCGCCTCGCCTTTCACCTACATTCGTTGCGTTCCAGAGGAGGTTTTTTCAAGTTTTCTTGTTGGCTTTAGGTAAATTTCCAATCTTTCTGCGAGCAAAGGATGAAGCAAGTAATCGATGTTTCTTTTGCAGTGGCGCATGGTTTCCAAAATGTGTATGTAGAAGCTCTGTACAAGAGCTATGGATTGCAGAGAAAGGAAATAGCTCGTCTTCTCCTGTTTGGTCACGCAGCAGCAATTTTTGTAGGGACAATTGTGGCAGTTTCAGCGGATTCCTTGTAAGCTTTTGTCGATTTTTTATTTTTCTTCCGGATTAGTTTTTGCTGCCAGAGGACGAAAGCAAGTATGCCTTGCGTATGCGGTCTTTACGGTGATTGAGTCTGTTCTAAAGCAATCGGGACACCTCTACGCTCTTTGCCTTGCGAGGATTTTCAACGGGTTGGCCTCGTCGGTGCTGCCTTGCGTTTTTGAGACATGGATGATCTCAGAGCATGAGAGGGTACTGTAAACTGTAAAACTCAAAACTAGATTGTCTTTAACGTCTCGTTTCAGCATGGTTTTCGTCAAGAATGGATGGTGGAAACGTTCCTGATGATGACTTTTGGCGGAGCTATCGCATTACTTGGTACCACCGCTGTTGCAAACTTTTTCGTCACCAATTTGGGTTGGAAGCTAGGAGCACCATCTGTTCTCTCCGCCGGTGCTGCAGTTATTCTTTTTCTTTTCGTTTCCAGATCCTGGGATGAGAACTGGGGTGAGGAGAGTCAAGGAAAAATCTCCAAGCCGTTGCTCCTTCCGTTTCGTGGTCAGTGGTTTTTCGCTTGTTTGTTTTTTTTTCTTATTCGAGATATTTTTCTTACGCAGACAAAAAAGTCGTGACTTTGGGACTCGTACAAGGAGTTTTTGACGTATCAGTGGCCGTTTTTTGGCTTCTCTGGGTGCCGACGATAGTGGTATGAGTTTTGGTTTTCCTTTTTCGCTTTGTTGTAGGAGAAAAACAGTTTATTTTACAGGCCGATGGTCGAGAGATTTATGTTGGATCGATATATGTTTGCTTGATGGCCTCTGTTATGGTGGGGACTAGTATTGCTGCTTTCCTTTCATCCTTCCCGTTGCTCACACCTGAGAGATCTCTTGCTCTTGTGCTGGCTATTGCAAGTATCTGCTTATTAGTCCCGGCCTACGATTACCAGGTAGAAACTTTAATATGTTTCCATTTTCCGCAGTGGCTAAGCTTTTGGTCTGCGTTGCAGGAGATTCCAGTGTTGGTGGCGATGTTCTGTGTGTTTCACATATGCGTCGGGATAGCTACGCCTTTGCTAGCTTGCTTTCGAGCCTCGTAAGTAGTTCTCGAGATCGTCTTAGGTGGTGAAAACCTCTAGCTATGCTCTGTGTAGATATATCTCCAGTTCTCGTCGAGCAGGAGTTTATGCCATTTACCGTGTTCCAACTGACTTGGCACTCATTCTTTTTCTAACTCAGGTAGGTGAACGGTTTCATCCCATCGATATTTCTTTTACAAGTCTTTGGTGCTTTTGCAGGGCTCAATCCGTCAGGCATGGGATAATAGCACCATCCTTTACACATGCGGTTTAGCAAATCTTGCAGCCGCGGGAGGGGTGCTTGCGCTGACAAACTCTTGGAAGAAACTCTAGAAAAACATTTGTACGGTAAGAACACTTCCAAGCTTTCTTTTTCCTAGTTTTCCTCTTCCTGCGAAATCTAAGCTCCATTTATTCCGGGGTTTCTTATTGACAGGAACTTCTCTCTATCTACACGGTTGCTTGACGCTGGAGAAACTGGAATTTACAGTCGATGAAGCTCTCTCTCTCTCAATCCTCGTTGAGCGGGACAAGGACGAGGATGATAGAGCTGTAACTTATCATAGGATAGATTTGAGCGTTGAGAAGCGGGCTGTACTGCGCGTATGCTGTTGCCAAATCGGGGATGTCGTCGGCTAGAAAGTCGTAAGGGGCGGGCTTGCTCGAGTCTACCACTGGCTGCCATTTGAAGCCTGGCCGTTCCGGGAGAGTGACCAGCACTGGCAGATGGCTCGTGTTAAATGCAATGTAAAGCTCTCGTTTCTTCGCATCCACCTGCGAGAATGTCAATAGCTGTGTAAGGAAGTATGAGAACTTAAGAGAGCCTACCAGCGAAAATGCGACGAAACGGCTGGTTTCGGACCAATCTGGAGTCTCTGGAACAACGCCGTGCCACTCCAGGCGCTCGGCTGTTGGGAAATCTCCAAGTCCAAGCGACTCGGATTGCCTGTGAAAGATGTTTAGTGTCTCATATGAGAATGGATGCCGCTAACTTGCCTTCTAAAGTTGAACAGATGGCGTGAGAACCGGAAGAGACCGGTTGGATCCGTTCGCAATTTATCCCACCTGAAATAGTTTATCTACACGAAGCACATCTTTTGCACAAACTCGTTAACACCGGGAGTGGAAACAATGGATGGAATTCTTACAGCATTGTCGTGGCAGTACGTGTTGTTGTTCCCTCCTTTTGTATGTGCGTACTCATCGCCCATTGTTACCATAGGTACACCCTGTGAAGCACCTTGGTTGGCGTTGGAAGGAAGCAGCCACTTTAGCTTACCTGAGAGACCATAAGAGCTACCAGAAAATTCCTCAGCTGCCTGTGCCTTAGGCGGCGCACACGAACGCTAACGAGCTCGCCTTCCTGCCATGGAAAACGTCCGTTATTGCAATGTTTCGCATTTGCCACCATCCCTACCTCTCCGCAATTCCAACTGTTGTTATGAGTTTCCCCATCGTTGTTGCTCTCCCCGTTCGCTATGTTGTGCTTCGAGTTGTACGACACAAGGTCAAGTAGTGTAAATCCATCATGAGCAGTTACAAAGTTGACGCTGTGCCATGGTTTTCTGCCTCCGTCCTGAAAGTAGGGAGTTTCATGGTGGGAACTATAGACTCCCAAGTACCTGATATAAGTGTGGCGAGCCACACAAGCACTGTGCGAATGCCCCAGCCAATCCATCGGTTCCTTTGATAAAAAGGCGCACAGTATCTCGATACTGAAATGAAAAATGTGGAAACGCATGTAAGAAAATCAGGGAAATCACCTGTCCATTCCATTCAGACCAGATTCCCCAGTGAGGAAAATTTCCCACTTGATAAAGACCTCCTGAATCCCATGCTTCAGCAATTAGCTGCCGGTACAAAAAGCTGTTGAGAAAGTGTACAATGAAAATTACAAGCACGGACCTTCACTCCTCTCAGAACGGGATCGTTACTTATCATATCGATAAGTGGAGGTTCACTCAGTGGCGTGCCTGTTGTCACACAATCTCCATCCACATCCTCGCTAGCGCCAAAAACATTTGCTTTATCCCAAAGACTAGAGGAGATTTGACAAAGGTTAGATTCTGCTGAAAACATCAAGATTGGGACGTACCTACTTGCGCGGGTTAGTATGGACGCTAGATCAAAACGAAAACCATCAATGTGCATCTCCAGCACCCAGTACCTGAAACATTTAGATTTGTTACTTTGTCATTCACGTCGTTCAAACCATCAAATACCTCAGACAATCAACAATAAATCGCCTGACCACAGGATGGTTGCAATTGAATGTGTTCCCGCATCCAGAATAATTATAGAATTCTCCCTATAGAAACAAGTAAACCCAGTTTGTTTTATAGAAGGTGTAACTATCAACCTTGGGCGCAGTCATGTAATAGACACGGTTATCCAATCCCCGAAAAGAAATAATCGGTCCCATTTCATTTCCTTCAGCAGTATGATTGAAAACTACATCCATAAAAACCTGTGAAGTATCTCGGTCAGTACAAAATCCACGGACAATGCATATACCTCTATGCCAAGCTTGTGCGCCTCCCTTACAAAAGTTTTAAACTCTTTAATCGCATCACGACCACAGTTTTGTATTCCAGACGAAGCATATCTCGTCATTGGAGAAAAGAAATTGATGGTCGAGTAGCCCCAGTAGTTCATCCTGAGAGGCAAACGAACTGCATCACTATAAGGTAATGAAGCAATGCAACAACTTACTTGTGATCACCCATCACGGGATTGTACGAATAGTATTCTAGCTCATTAAACTCGTGAATCGGCATCAGTTCTATCGCGTTGATACCCAAGTCCTGTAGCATCCCCATGTTAGTCCTTGAAACCTTCTCAAACAACCATATACCTTCAAATGTGGCAGCTTCTCCAGGGCTCCGAGGTATGTCCCAGGAAAATCCACATTACTTGATGGATGCTGCGTAAAACCACGCATATGAAGCTCATATACTATAAGATCCTTTTGTTTGTGACGCGGAGGCGAATCCCCTTGCCAATCAAACTGAAACAAAACAGAAAACTTGTAAAACAATGCAAGATTTGGCAAACTCTACCTCGTCGTTTAACTGCGGAACCATCCCGGCCATCTGAGGCCAGCAGCTGTTTCCAGGTCCTAAAGCTCCGTATTTTCCCCGACTAACTACAGCCTGCAGCACCAAAAAAACTCCTGTCAAATCTATTCATCTCTTCATTCCTTACCTTAGCATAAGGATCAACAAGAATTCGAGACAAATCGTAGCAGCACCCCTCCTCCAGACTGAATTTCCCATTTAGCCGGTATCCATACAGCAAATTCGGACATACGTCTGGGAGATAGACATGCCACACATCTCCAGTCCTGTTAAAAACTGGATGAAGAGGAAACTCTTTACCAACTCGGCCCTGCAAAGAAAAAGAGTAATAACCAAATGGATGGAAGCACAAGAGCAATGCCCATACCTTCTGCAAATCTTCCTCGGTGAACAAACACAAGGACACAGCGATCGCGCCACTAGAATGCACAGAGAAATTTACACCCCCTTCCACGGGCGTGGCGCCGAAAGGAAGGGGTCTCCCCCGCTTGGGCCGCCCTGCCAATTTCTTCACATCCACGCTCTCCGACGAGCTGTAACTGGACGTGCTCGTCTCCATCGCGCGGCACGAGACGACGGGATCACCGCCATTGCAATGCCTCCACCCAGAAATCTTACCCCTGCAATGCCAATCCCTAGCCAGATTCACGCAATGCGGGGGCGCCCGATCGCTGCAAGACGCGGCCGCGGCATCGCCTCGATGACAGACCCTAGCAGCATCCGGCGAGGCACTGGGAATGGCACCTGAGACAATCGCCGGCGCCATCGCCATAGCTCAAAAACAATGTTCCTCACATGTGGAAAAGCAAACCCTTTATACCAAACCCTGAGAAAATATTCCGTCACACTTAACAGAATATCCTCACCTGGTAGTTGCCACATGACATGCCAGCACTGGATAAGCTCAATGCAAAAAGAATTATGGTAAAAACGATTTCTTATTCTTTTGGGTTTTTAGCAGCGAACATTGCGAGTGTGCGCATCAAAAAACAAAAAAAAACTCTTTAGAGAATTTATAGAGTTAGATCCTTAGGGTTCTCGATGATCTTCGCTAGTGTCTGCAAAAATGCTGCTACGTCCGCGCCATAGATGATCCTGTGATCCGCAGTGATGTTCACCTGTGCGAAAGATTCGATCAAGATTGCTAAACTTTCTAAAACCTGAGATACAAACCTGCATTTGGTTCTTGATTCCAAACAGACCATCTGAAGTTGCCACAACAGTTGGAGCAGAAGCTCCCACAGCCATAATCGCTCCCTGGGAAAGTTTCGAGATGAATCAGGGATTGTTGATCTAGAAGTGCCAAGGAAGAACTTACCGTGCCGGGTGGGAGAATCGCGTCAAACCTATCAACGCCAAACATCCCCAGGTTTGACAAAGTGAAAGTTCCTGTCGAAATCATCAAAGAAAGTTGTCAAATGTCTCAAAGTCACTACTTTGTCAACACCAACCTGAGTTGTACTCGCTGGGCTGGAGTTGTTTCGCGCGAGCCTTGTCAACGAGCTCTTTCCACTTCCGTGATAGACTGTAGATATCCAGCTGCACCACCAACACACAAGACTAAGAACTCGAAAACGAGGAATAGAAAGATTTTTGCGTACCTTGTCGGCGTCTTGCAGAACGGGGGTGATAAGTCCGCCGTCAATCGCTACTGCAACGGCGATGTTGATGCTGGCGTTGTACGTGAAGCTCTTCCCATCCTTGCAGCTAGCGTTCATCACGGGGTGCTGTGCTACTGCCAAAGCCACGGCCTTGGCCAAGAGAGCGGACATGGTCACTCCCTTGGATTTGATCTACAAAACAACAGTCACAAAAAGCATCGAGTCGAAACTATGGCTTACCTTCTTGTAGAGCGCGTCGAGAGCGTCGGTGGTGATCGTGTATCCCACTCTGAAAGTAGGAACTGAGAGGCTCTCCACCATATTCTTGCAGACTGCCGCTTGCATGCCAGTGAAAGGAACGGTCGATCCCAGCGGAACTGGGGCTGGAGCAGCCGCTGGAGCCGACGAAACTGGAGAAGGAGCGGCGGTCACCGGAGCGGCAGTGACAGCAGCTGCTGTAACAGGAGCTTTTCCAGTGGATGCTTCGACATCAGCTCCAGTGATCCTGCCCGAGGGACCAGTTCCAGCGACAGCAGCCAGATCCACCTTGAGTTCCTTGGCAAGCTTTTTCGCGTATGGCGTAGCCACTATCCTCGTTCCTCCTTGCGACGCAGGATGAGATGAAACCACAGGAGTAGCAGCAGCCACAGCAGGAGCTGGAGCTGCCGAGGGTGGCGGCGGCGGCGGCGGTGGCGACGAGACTGGAGCAGCGGGAGCAATGGAATCAATCGCTGCTGGAGGCGGAGCAGGAGGAGGAGCACTTCCAGACGACGCTGCAAACTTCGCCTTTGCTTCGGCAACTTCGTCCAAGCTCTCGGCGAGAATTCCAATCGCAGCGCCCACGGGAGCCACTTCTCCCTCTCCCACAACGATGGAGGCCAAGTAGCCATCGTAGAACGTCTCCACGTCCATGTCGGCCTTGTCCGATTCCACCACCACAACGCTCTCGCCTTTGCTCAGCTTGTCGCCCTCGGCCTTCATCCACGACACAATCTTCCCCTCGGTCATGGTGGAGCTGAGCGCCGGCATGAAGATCTCTCGGATTTTGGCCTGGACGCGCAAGCTCCTGCGAGATCTCCTCGACGGCCTGGCCGACGGAGCCGCTGCTGCCGCGGATGGGACGCCATCTCCCAGGAATCGAGATTTTCGCGAAATCTCTTCGAAAGAAGGCGCTGCCACGGACGCTGCTCCCGCAATTGCGGCCATGGTTGGAACTTGGATCGATCTACGCACAGCCAACATGCATTGCTCGCAAAAGGCCACAAGAAATGGAAGAATGGAGCTTACCTGTGGAAGAATGGACGCCAAGAACACGCTTTGCTTAGCTTGCTCGCCTCAAACCCTATATAAGAGCGTCATGCGATTAGTAGCGCTGCTCATTCGTCCCGGAGAATCCGTCGGCCTGGCTGAATCCTGGCCGTCCAAGTTATTCCTCATTAAACTAATTAATAATGATTTAAACCTATTTATTATACTAAGTAATTTGGTTTAAGCAAAACCTATGGATGTTCTTGTTCTTCGTTGTTTCGCGCTCTCCGCAGGGTTTGTTTGTTTCATTCTAGGGATTTCACTGAGGTGCGTCTTGATCCTTAGATCCCAGAGGGCTAGCATCGATTTCCATCAGCGGCCATGGCGGAGGGGATCTAGATCGGCGCTCAAGTCCGGTAATACGTTTCTTTCCCTTGCTGCGCATTGCGATCGTCAGGGTGTTCATAGATTTCCAGGGATGGATGCAAATGCTGCTCCATTCTCCAGAGAGCTCGAGAATGCGTCGGATTTCACGGCCATTTCAAGCAATGGATTGGTCTCAATCTGTGGCTTTGGTTCCCTTCTTTCTGGTAAGTCATTCTTTCATTCCTTTTCTTTTTATCTAACTTTGAGCTGTGCGTTTAGAAAAGAGTGCTCGCTCCACGTTTCCCAGGCTTCTCAATTTCCGACCTGGAGTCGTCAAAAACTTTCGACGGATCTTTGCGCACATCGCTCCAATATTTCTGGAACGCGGCATCGCGAATGTTGAAACAAAGGTAGGAAACACTATCTCCGTAGAATTTTTTTCGATAACGTTTTTCTTTCTTCACAACTTTTGCTGGTTATATTTGTTCCTCACAGGAAATGTCGAGCTTGAGCGTGGAGCCATGCATTGGGGAGTCCATAGTCGTCACTGTCTTCGAAATCTCTCTGCTTGAGGTAGAATCTCGTTTCGGATTCGTCTCTGTGAGTTCGTTTTCTTTTTTTCTTATTGCAGGTTCCGGCTTTCATACAGCGGGAACACGAGTTTCGGTTTCTCGAAGTAAGTCTCAGTTGATTCAACCGGCCTTTGTTTTACGTATTTGTTTTTCTCTCTTTAGGTGGCCGTTGTCAACTCTTCTGAAGAAAATGCGATTCATCTCTGTAAGGCTGTGAGTATTCTGACGGTATCTGGAAGATCCCTGAGCTTATTTGAGCAACCAGGTGATTTGTGCCAAGTACAGCGACGAGGAATACTTGTCCATTCGCTGCCAAGGTAAGAGTTACCTGTTGGGACACCTTTGTGAAACGAAACATGCCACACTGGATTGTAGGAAACAAGGACGTCTTCTACGAACGCTATGGAAAGCATGGAATCCAGCAGATATGGCGTGATGACATACTCCCTTGCCGACTCTATCTTCGTCATTGGTATGAGCAGTCTCTTTTCTCATTTCTTACATTTCGTTGGTTCCAGTGTTCTAGCAGCGAAAAATCTTGGGCAGGATGCATTCGAAAGCTTCTTAGACCACACTTACCTCGGGGACCGAAGAACAAGAATACGAGAGTACTTGGACGCTCATCCGGATATAATGAAAGAACAGCCTCCGGAACATCTCCGTGATCGTTATGGAGGCTAGGTGCGCCCGCCATTTCTCCATTCGCGTAAGATAATCCTGACTTTGTTCTTCGCAGGCTATCAGCATTTTGTACAAAGCGATGGACATGATCGGGTCCTTTTCTCTGGACTAACGTGAAGATCACAGGCCATGCGCAAAAGACCATAAGAATGGAAGATTTCGAGCTTACCTGAAGAACTATTAACGTATCCTATAATTCACCGATTTCATCCAGCCTTTGCTTTTACTTAGCATGCAGCCAAGAACCATCCCTTGCGGGTTCCGGAGCTTAGCATGAGCAACACAGCGCGAGTCACCACTCCATTCTTGCCAACGCGCTGTCGAAAGCAACCTGTCCGACAGCGGATCTCTCCCTCTTCGAGCTCTGTGATCTCCCAGGCTCTGAAACCTCACAATTTGTGTGGGATTCCCGGGAATGATCAATTTTGGTAGCATCTCTCCCATAATTTCTCATGGCACAGCTCCAGTGCTGCGCAGAGATTGGTCATCAATCGTCAGGCGTCACAGGGTGAGAGTGGAGCCACGATAAAGAGCGATGGAGGGGCTGAATGCTAGAGAGAGAGAGAGAGAATCCAAGAGTTGACTAAAGCAAGCTCTAAAGAGAGTTGACTAGAGCACTTTCTACACAGATAACTACATTTTAAAGGTAATGATAAGTATAAGGGAAATACAGTATCAATACTCACTGTTAAATTTATCTAAATGGTTTTGAGCCTAAACTTCCTAACATTTCGCCCTTAATTATAAGGGTAAGCGTAGCCCTAGGGCACTATTAGAATTGCTGGAAGCTTTGGTAGAATTTTCTTGTAGAACGTTCTGAAAATACAGCTTACGTTAGATTTGACTCAGGATCGTCAAGTATGGGCCGTTAACTCTTGTGCCTACCACACGCTTTGCACGCTTCCGCAAAGTGGATTGGAATTCACGCTCAAGTCCGCAGAGGAAACACGACTTGGCTGCCGTCATTGTGGTGGGCAATTGTTAGCTCGCAGCTAGGGTTTGGAAGTTCCAAGCGCCGAGGTAGAGGGATCAGGGCTTGCAAGCAGCAGCGATGGCGTGCGACAGTAGCACGATCGCCGAGGGCGTGGAGCGATGCCCATTCCTGAGGAACATTGGCGAGCCGACCTCGTTCAATTTCAGCAGCTTTGCTCCCATCAAGTTCCCCAATCCGGTAAGCGCCTCGAGATTCTGGAAATTTAGCTCGGGATCTGAGATTTTTGCCCCTCTTCTTAAGCTGCGCGGATCGAGAGGGCCAATTTTTGAGGATGGCCCTGGTTTCGACACCGCATTTCGATTGTTCCACGGCAAGGATGGTGTGATTCCGCTCTCCCGGAACAAGGCTGACGATGGCGCCGAGACCCTGGAAGTCCCCAAGATGGGCTTCCATCCACTGGCGGCATCCGCGGCTACCATAAGTCTCTCCTCGTTTGGAGCCGGGAGATTTAATTTTGACGCGTTCATGGCCAAGCAACAGAAGAAAAAGAAGGAGCGCAAGGAGTCTGAATCGAAGCAAAACAAGGTACACTTTCTTTTCTTCCTTGGAGTGCTGTGGTGTGATTTCTTCGTTTCGATTCATCAAATTACTGTAACTTTGCATTTCATTTCCTGTCATCGTTGGCTCTGTGATAATGTTCTTCACGAATTCTTTCTTTTTTTCTTCTTCCTTCTGACGATTCAGTGAAACATTTTCAGGACCATCTTCACGAAGCTCTTGGCTCCGAGTGGCTGGCAACTGGGAACTGCCCGATCGCACGCTCTTGTCGAGCAGTAAGTGGAGTGCTACCTCTCGTCGCAAAGTGGTTCAAACCACCCTCAGGGATGAAGTACCGGTGTCCACCGGCTATCGTCGCCGCTCGAGCCGCCCTGGCGAGAACTGCGTTCGCAAAGAACTTGAGGCCGCAACCATTGCCATCCAAACTCCTGGCAATCGGCCTCCTGGGGATGGCAACCAACGTGCCGCTGGGGGTCTGGCGCGAACACACAAAGAAGTTCTCTCCGGAGTGGTTCGTCGCGGTCCATGCAGCGGTGCCATTCATTGCTATGATGAGAAAGGCCGTCAACATGCCGAAGTTCGCTATGGCTTTCACTATCGGGGCATCCATCCTGGGACAGGTGATTGGCTCTCGCGCCGAGAGGATCCGGCTAGCACAGGCGAAGCTGGCTGCAAACGGTCCGGGGGTGGTGACAGAGATTTGCTTATCTCGTGACAACAATAGAGCTTCTTCGACGATTGCTGGAGGCAAAAGCTCTAGTCCTCCTGCTCTACTAGTTGGAGACCGAAGCTCCGGCTCTAGTTCTGGAGGGGAAGCGGGAGAACAGATTGATTCGCTCAACCATCAGTGCGCGAAGCTGGTCTGGGACGAGTTTAAGTCGCCAGTCTCAAGAACAGTCGATGCGTTTTAAAAGCTTTCGGTGCAGCCTGGTGAGAATAAAAAAGTTTCTGCTTCAAACCAAACAAGGTCTGTGCTTCGTATTTTTCTTTCTTGTTTTCACATTGTAATAATTCAAGCAAACATTGTGATTGTTTTAAAAGCTTCTGGTGTGTATTGTATTTTACCGTGTCAGTAGAAACGTGCTGATTTAACTCTTCCAAAGGGAGGTATGTTTGACTCTTCGTTTATTTCTTACCTCTTGTGCCCCGTTTCCTTTCCGGGTTTAGGCGATGGAGAACGAGCAGCTCCTGCTTGAGAAGCTCGAGAGCTCGAGCTGGAGTCCCGGTGAGGCTCAGGATAAAGTTCTGGCCGAGATCCTGGAGAAGAATGCCGCCACAGACTACTTCAACAGGCATGGATTGCGAGCAGCAACCAAGGAGGTGTTTCGGCAGAGAGCGCCGGTCATTGAGTACGAAGACATCAAGGATGAGATCAACCGAATTGCCGACGGCGAGGCCGCTACTTTGCTCTGTGCGAATCCTATCGCGGATATGTTCACGAGGTAAGTTTATCTCTAGTTTTTGTCGATTTCGCAAAGACTTTGTGGTAGCTCTGGGACCTCCGGCGGGGCTCACAAGCTGTTCCCGAAAGTGGAGGGACACTATGCTGTGTCGAAATACTTCTTTGATCTTGCAACCGCTCTTCTCAACAGGTATTCGTCGTCATTTTCCTCCAAAGCTTATGATTGTTTGTTCCTTCGAATCTGTAGGGACTTGCCTGGACTGAGGACCGGCAAGGCTTTGTACTTCTTATACGTGAGAAGTGGCCGCAAGACTCCTGGAGGGCTTCCAGCTTATCCAGCACTGACGGGATACTACAACAGTCTAGAGTTCCGCAACCGGCCTTTCGATCCAAGCAACGATTACACAAGCCCCCTGGAGGTGATACTTTGCACGGACAGCGTGCAAGCCTCCTACTGCCACTTGCTGTGTGGTTTGATCCACGCCCGAGACGTGACGAAGCTGGGCTGCTTCTTTGCGTCGGTGTTCGTGAGGTCGATAAGGTGCCTCGAAGCCTGGTGGCAGGAGCTTTCCAGGGACATACGAACGGGAACTTTGTCCGAGAGAGTTGTGGATCCGGCTTGCAGAGAAGCCGTGGAGAAGATCTTAAGGCCGGATCCAGAGCTTGCGAACGTGATCGACGAGGCGTGCTCCAGTGGAAGCTTGAAAGGAATCGTCCGGAAGCTGTGGCCCAGTGCCAAAGCTATCGACACAGTCGTCACCGGTGCTATGGAGCAGTATGTTGGAGAAGTCGACTATCTCACCGACGGCCTGCCAATAGCGTCGATGATCTACGCGTCCTCGGAGTCTTTCTTTGGAGTGAATCTCAAGCCGCTTTGCGAGCCGTCCCAGATCTCCTACATGTTTCTGCCCGAGACGTCCTACTACGAGTTTCTGCCGGTGGCTCGATCGGAGGAGAAAGCTTCTCGTGAAGAGCCCGTGGAACTCGTTGATGTGGAACAAGGCCACGAGTACGAGCTTGTGATCACGACAAACGCTGGTATAGTTTCCAGTTCATTGTCCTGGCTTGTATCTTTATCTTTTCTGGCTCTTTCCATCAGGATTGTACAGATATCGCATGGGTGACGTTCTTAGAGTCGAGGGCTTCCACAACAAAGCTCCGCTCTTCAGCTTCGTCTGCCGGACGAACGTTCTACTTAGCATCGACTCGGACAAAACGGACGAGAAGGAGCTCCAGACCGCAGTCATGAACGCGTTTGCGGCATTGCGAAATGGCGTCACGAGCAAGGAGGGGGAGGCAATAAGATTGACGGACTACACCAGCTATGCCGACCTCTCCTCCAATCCTCCGCACTACGTGATTTACTGGGAGCTGTCCAGCGAGCTTCACTTGGAACCGGAAAAAGCAGGGGAGTGCTGCTACAAGATGGAGGAATCACTGAGCGTGGTGTATCACAGGGGGAGGATGGAGAGATCCATTGGAGCTCTGGAGCTGAGGCTTGTGACACCAGGGACTTTCAATCGAATCGCTGATGATGCCGCATCCAGGGGTGGAAGTGTTTCTCAATTCAAGCTGCCAAGGTGTATCAAGAAAAATGCGACCAGGATGCTGGAAATCGTGGAGAGTGGTGTATACCAGCAGTACTTCAGTCCAAGAGCACCGAAGTATTAATATTATTTTGATTGTTTGATCGTAAAAACTCTAAAAATTACAGCAAAATTTTATTATTATACTCAATTGCTAGCAACTATCGTACTATGAACTGCATAGCACATAACTGTTGACAAAGCGTCAGTAGAATATATGATCAATAGTTTCATCACCTTAACTTAGAGAACACTAACAATCTCTCTCTTTCTCTGTGTGTGTGTGTGTGAAAGAGAGGGAGAAAGAGAGAGAGAGTTTAGAGCAATACATTGAAATTCAAATGTTTAAAATCCCACTTTATTTACTATTGTTTTTCTACATTTTTTAGTATTTTGGTTTTGAAAAAAACGTCCAGAAAACTGTAGCTCTCACAATGCCACTAATATAATTGAATATAATACCCTTATTTGTTACAAAGCTGTATATCTTCAAATAAATCTCAAAAGTTAACTTTTCATATAGAACTTGAATAGGAAACAAAATAAAATGATATATGTCAGGTAGTAAATGACTTAGTTTAAAATATCTAAATAACCCATCTAAAAACCAATCACTATGTGTTGAAACTACAATATCATTTACAATTAAATCTCCAGATAATATGAATGGATTATAAAGGCCATATTTTTTTACGACATAAATATCTAAAAATACTTAAATAAGTACAAGAAAAATAATTTTTTCTTACCTGTTATATTGTAAGGTATAATCTTTCCTGATTTTTCATCTAATGCTAATAAAACATCAGTTAATATAACATCATTAGCATATTTATAAATAGTTGATTTTGAATCTAAAGATAAAACTATTAGTGGCCATAATAACTATTTCAAACATACTTACTTATAACAGGTATATAATGAAATGAAGATAACTCAATGCTTTTTCTATTACTAATATCAATATGAATAAACTCTTTATAGGCTTTAAGATCTTGGTGTCCAAAAGCATATATATCAGAATAATCTATAATACCTTTTTTATTTTGAATTGCAACCTACCCATATTAACATCACCATCAAAGGCAAGAACTAAAACTCTATAAAATTACAAACCTTATCACCAATAGAAATATCCTTCACTTGTTTTTTCTTACCATTATAAAGTTTTATAATAGCATCAGCTATTACAAAAAAAATGTATTCTTAAAACAAGAAAAGGAGTAAAATTACCTGGAAAACAACTTGGACGTACATAACAATTAAAGTTCCTGCATTCATAACCTTTTATGCAATCTTCATCTTTTGTACATGGATCAACTTGAGTTTTAATTAATGGTAAAACATTAAGAACTAGTGATAAAGAGAAAAGAAAAGCATTCATTTTTTAAGTCTATGAAAACTGATATATAACTGGTGACTATATATAGATTGGTTGGTTTTTGTTATTTTATGGACTTTCTAATAAACCTGTTATTATATTTGCTAAGTCAATTTCAATGTCTTCTTGTAGAAGATGTCCACCCTGAAAATAATATATTAAAACTAATGTTGAAATATTTGCTATACCTTGTCTAAAGTGATTAGTTTAAATTGGAACTCCTCACAAAAGGTTTTGAGTGATTTATAATTTAGCCATCTGTCGTTCAAACCACCAATAAAATATATAGGTGTTTCCCAGTTTTTAGACGTTAATAAAGATCGAACTGATAAAATTGAATCCTATAGCCAAATGTTTAGCAAGAATATGTTTATTCATTAGAGAAATGTATTACCTTTAACTCTTTTTTAAAACTTTTAATCACAGACTTTAGTGCAAATCCAGCTGATCCTGATGATAAATATGGCTTTCTATAAACCATTTTATCCTCCTCTGTTATAGCATAATAACTTATTCTTGACATAGCACCATCACTTGCTTTAAAAGGATCCTGACATAAGCAACTTTTTATAGCTAGAAAGCTCTTGTAATTCTAGTTTACCTGGGAAAATATATCACCTAAGAATAAATTTGTAAATTCTAAGAGATTTGATGGTAAAGTACTGTGTTCTTTAGATACCTGTATAAGAAATAATAAATGAAATAATGTTTTGTGTTTCTTGATTACTTACTGGTGGATTAATCATGATAAGTTTAACTATTTTGAAAGGATTTGCGCTAATATATTCTACGACTGGAGGTGTAAAATGTCCCTGTCTTAAAAAGCTTTAAAAAATCCTTTTAAAAAGATTTAGTGTTTAGTTACCTGAGCAACTATAGAAATTTGGTTTGATTTTAATCGATCCACCAAACAGCTAAGCGCATTTGTATACTCTGCAGGTTTTAAGAAAAAACAAAAACAGTCTACAAAATTAAAAACAGTCTATGTTCATTACCTTGAGTTGTATAATTAAATCCATTACCATATAATGGTTTGTCCGAGAATCCAAAGCCTATCCATGATGATAGAACAGAAGACATAACTATATAACTTACCCAACCAATCAACTGCTATAACGTGATAATCTTTGGCAAGTATAGAAATAACATGTCTAAAAGAATAAGCCTGAAAATCTACATATGTTAGCTCGTCCTAACTAATACACCATCACCTGAGAACATAAACCATGTAAAAGCAGTATTGTGTGATTATTATTTGTCCCTTCTTCAACGTAAAACCATCTGAGAAATATCTAATTAATGACTGTTAAAACCATCTATGCTAACCTCACCGATACTCATTTGAAGATATTTGAGATTGTGCACCCAATTTCATACCAAACAAAGGTTCTTTCACTGTGTTTGATGATCCTTGAGGAGAGTATGCATACATCTGCAGTATGTAAAAATATTTGAAAATTAGCTTAAGCTTAACTATGAAAACAGAATTAACTTACAAAATCACCACGTGCCCACCAGTCATCTGTTTTATCTCTTTCATCCGAATATTTTCCTACATTATTGTAAGAGAATTTATCCCTGAAAAAGAAGAACAAGAACAAGAACAAGAAGAGACTTACCACCATAGAAAGAAAAGCCATCTCCTTTAGATTGAGGTGCAATCTCCTAAAAGGAGGGTTTTCTCTTCTATTTGAAGACTGGAAGTCTACAGACTTACCCCATCATCTGCATATAGAGCATTCACTCTTGAGAAAGAGAAAGATTTCCTCTTCAATTTCTTCTTCACCGTAGATGGGTTGAGAATCTGTGCGCCATGGAAGGAACCCAATTGCACAGCCAGGCTCCCCATACTCATATCTAAAATCTACAGCGCATAGAGTTCACACAAGCACATATAAGAATCTAAGATTTAGTTTATAGAATCAAAGTTTTACATTTCTAATGCTAAATTCCAGAGTTGGGACTTGAAATGTTTCTTGGAGATCATCAGAGACTTAAATAGAGTAGAAAAATCACAGTGGGTCTCATTTTCGTTTTGCAGACACTGTGCCTCATCACTTGATCTTCTCCATTGTGATATCCATCAGAGACTTAAATAGAAAAACAATCATCCTTGATTTTCATCCTCATTTTCTCATCACCTGGCGTCACAGAAAGAAGAGCACTGGCGGCTACTCACACCCTAAAGGCTAAAACCTATGCCCAAGCCCTAAATTAGGTTGATTTTATGTGGGCAAATATTCTTCCCAGGAGCTCGTCCTCTCGCGATGAAATGGGGGCGATCTCGGGCGCTGCCGCCAATGCAGCGCGATCCAAGCTGCCGCCGCTGCTGGATTTGCGCCTGGATCGGAAGGTATACAGGCCAGGTGATGCTGTCACCGCTACGGTCGAGATTTCCAACCCTGCCAGCGCTTCCGATGGCGGCGACTTGATTTTGGTGGAAGAATTTGCCGTGGAGGTGAGAGGGACGGAGAAACTGGATCCGCAATGGATCGTCACTCCAAAGCCTCCCGGATTGAAGCAAAAGAGAGGTTCGTGCCTGGCGAATTTCCAATTTTTTTAAAGCTCTTCACAGGCGAACGGATCTTTCTGGAATCTTGCGGACCTTTGGTTAGTGGCGTCTTCGTCGAGGGCGGATTGACGAGATCATGTAAGTTTTGGTTTCCCTGTGGTGAAGCGATTAAAAATGTCGACTGTCTTTTAAGTCGTAAATTTGCTTAGATCTTGTACGCACGGTTCTACCAAAGCTTCTTCCTCCGTCCTTCAGAGGCACAGCAGTACGATACTTTTACCATCTCACCGCAACTATTCGGTGGAAATTTGTTGCCACTGAAAATGGTAGTTCATCGGTACAAGCTGCTCTTCCGCTGGTATGTAATGTTTTATTGTCCTAATATGAGAACGCTGGAACCATATGTAGGAGAAGCGCATTCCCATAACCGTTTGGACGATGCCTAACAACAGTGGACTTTCAGCTGAGCTCAACGAAAGCCATAAAAATGGCGGTCAGTTCTTTTTGGACTTGTCAAGCAATCTCGTTAAAACAAGTGTCTCAATGCACAGGCATTGTTCCATCGTCTCTTGTGGAGGCAGAATTGCAGTGGAAAGAAAATAGCGCCTACTCAGAATGGGTGAGTTGACTACAATGCCCACTAGTTGAAGTCTTGGCAAATGCAACGTTTTTATCTGGCAGACGGGGACGGCTAGTACTTTCTCAGGTTTAGAAGACGATATATCTAGTCAAGGATCCGAAAGTGTTTCCCATAGCCCGAAGGGAAGTCTGGAGAACAACTTTGATCGGCTGGTGCTCCAGTCTCCTGCATTGACTCCAAGGACGCAGCCGAGAAGCGAAGAGTCAAATCGACCAGCATTGAAGAAGCAGATATTGATGGCATCTTTTTCAGACGAAATCCCGAGTAAGTTACTGGAAGTTTGTTGTCGTGTTTTGTTTTGAGATCTATCTTTGCAGAACATTCTCAAAGGACACTGGACACATCGCTCTCTGGGAATTGGAGCCCATGGAATCGGTTCCCGATGGATGGTTTTCCAAGTGAGCAAGAGGATGACTCGAGAACCGACTCCTCCCCAGGTGAATCTATTTTCGGAGGCGTCAAACTAGAAGTTGAGCTGTTTCTTTCAGGCCACGTGAAGGGGAAAGCCTACAACATCAGGCTTGGCAATCAGGTTCTTGTGCGTATTTCACCCAAGAATCCTGATGCGGTTCATTACTTTGGAGACACTGTAAGTGCACACTTTCTCTCTCTCGTTTTTGACGTTACTCGTTGCAGATTGCTGGAGTTATCAGCTTTCCAGAAGAAAGTGATTCTCGAAAGTGCTTAGAGGTGAGAGAGATAATGATTGTGAAGTATCCAGCTGTAACAAGAGGAGAATGCAGGTTTCAGTGGTGCTGGAGATTCGCGAAGTACTCAACGTTTTGCATTTGCATCCTTCCCGGAAGAACTCGCAAGTCATATCCAAGGTACTGTTTGACTTTCCTTTCTTGTTCCTTCTCACGCTAGACAATCAACGCTAAACGATGCACAGATTCAATCCGAGTATCACGAAGTTGTCGCGGATGTTTCACAAACGCACTTCCTTTTCTCCATCCCTCTAGATGGCCCGGCTTCCTTCTCAACTCCTCACGTCACGGTACAGTGGGTTCTTCGTTTCGAGTTCGTGGCCACTCCAGGGAATGTTGAGTGGTCGAAGTACGCACATCCTCTCGAGATCAAAGACAGGGAGACGGGAGAGTGGACGCTGCCCATCACTGTTCATGCTCCACTGCCCCGGACGCACGGAGTAAGGAAGGACAGGCCAGTAGCTTCACTGAGAGATTTTTGGCTTCAATCCCCCAAGGCATCGGACTGGGTTGGCACTCCGCTGGGCTCACCGATTTTAGCCGGCCCGTCCAACGGTCACTTCTGAGGAAATAGAGAATGTCTATTTCTTTTTTCTCCAGAGAATGTGTCCTCGTCTAAGAGTTCGTGGTGTGTCACCAAATAGCCTTTGTTGAAGCTCTTGGCATTTAGTAACTGGTATCTTGTCCTTCAAGTAGATCGCCCGACGCTAACATGTTTCCCAAGGATATTTACTTGTAAAAAATTATTTTGTAAAAATAGAGTCTTTCTTGTGTAAGAAAAAACTCACTTTAATTCATTATTCTTCTAAAACATCTAAGAATGACAAGTTTTCTGAGGCACATGTATATATATACTGTAGGATAAATATGCTAATTATAATACTCTGGACCGAATCAAAATATGTGATCAATTTTTGAAACAAACAATATCTCGAAAAGTCTTTCCAATGACATCATCCAACCCATGCTAATATAAGATAAGACTAAAAATAAAAATTTGGTCAAGTTTTTCAGTTTGCAGTTTTTCTCACGGTTCACCACAGCTCCAAAACTTGACATTTAACGTTCTGACTAGCACCCAACACTAGAACCTGGCTGCTAGTGCTTGCTGAATGATTGTGTTATTGTCCAGGAAGGTTTTCGTTAGTTCTGGTTGCTGATGTGGCCTATAGGGATCGTTTATAAGAGGAATAGAAGGGCACTCTCCACTCCCATAGCTACACTTGAGCTTCACCTCTGTGCTGGCATGATTGACATTTGGCCTGATAGTGCCAAGGGATTGGGAAGGAGAACTTATGCATTGGTGATTTCATCTTGGCTTTGTATGCTTTGACCTCAAACAAAGGCGAGTGGATTTCTTTCTTTCTTTCTCTTTCTGGTGTGCTTGGAGACAAGCTCTAGCTTATTACTGCTTGAGATGAAAGCTAACAAAAGTAGTGCTACAGTAACTTAGTCATGGAATAAGGGAGGCATGTTTAATGCAAAACAAGATTGAGTAGTAACCTGGCTTTTCATCTAGTGAGTGGGCATAAGTTGAATATTTGCAAACTTCACATTTGGTCCTGCAAAGCAGGATACAATGCTTAAATCACATCTGAAGAAACTATATGTCTTTACATTGGGTTTGCATAGAAGAACACTTCGATGCTTTATAGAAGTTTTATCTATACATGACTTAAGACATTTGGCTCATTTAATGTTTACAATATCTCTTGTAGAGACTAGAAAAAGTCTTAAACAAATATAAGAGGATGATATAGCTGATCTAGGAAACTTATCATGTAATTACAATTGCTCAACCATGATTTTTTACTTGCTTTTCTGCTAATAACAATTTTTTTCAAATGTTAGATTAAAAAATAGATAGCGAATAAATAAATATTGCAAATGTAGATATTATTATTTTATAGTTGTATCATATAGTAAATATATATTAAAACCACAGAAAACCAATATAAAATCTTTAGATTGAGCTATTTGAAAAGCATTAAATATGTATAGATGTTGTCTTTTAATTGTATAAACATAAATTCTTTATTTAATTTTGTTTTACTTACTATTGAGCTATGCTATAAGAGGACAAAAAGAGACTATCTGGATAAATAGTTTTTAAATATGTGATTTACTTGTTTAGTTTCATTATTCACATCTCAAGTGTAAAAGGAAAAATAGTAAATTATCTCATATATATCTTGATATATACTTTTTCTACTTCCTCAGCTATGACAATCAAAACATAATTGTAAATTATGAGGGAAGGTACAACTCCAAAGAGAAGGTGTATCTGGGGTTAGTGACATGGCAAAAAGATTGTAGTATACTGTAAAATATATCAATTTAAAACACATGTGTTCTTGAATTTTTTAAACACATATGTGTGACTAATAAAATAATCTTTTGGATCTAACTTTTTGTCAAGGTATAGGCATGCATTGGTGATTTGGCAAAGTTGAGATTAGTGCTAAGTATGCAATTTTGTAGCACTATGTAAAATTAGATTCCATATCAGTTTATTTGGTATGTTAGTACAGTTTAGGCATTGGTTAAGGGCTTGTAGTAAAGTGTGAACTGGATTTGAGTGCCTTTTAGAAGCCATTACCATGCACTTGAGGCATTTTATATAAAGAGGGTAATAAAAAGCACTTTATGAGTGAGTGATTTTGCAATAAATAAAGAAGATTTTGCTTATAATTAAGAGAAGGCTACAAAATAAGAGATTTTAACTTTATTTAGAATGGATTGGTGCATATTGCACTATTAAAGCTCAGAAGAGGTGCATCCTCTCAAGAGTGTTGTTGCAAGTGCTTTTTAAAGAGCTTCTCTTACAACACTGAGAACTTTATGATATATAAGATTATGTATGTTAATGGCAAATTAAAAGATGTTGGATATAAAGTCAGCTACTACATTAATCTATATTTGCCCAAAACAAGTTTTGTGAAGGAGATTAAAGTTGATTCTTTATGTGTTTTTCAATGTGGAGTTATCCATGGAGCTTTGGTGAATTTACAATAAATTTCCCCCACCGCATAAAATTCAGTCTTGATGCAACATATAGCAAGCTAGAGCCTTGGCACAGGTATTTAGATGGAATCATTAATACCACTATGTGTTTGAAATTTCTAAATAATACCACACACTTTGTGTTATTTATCTACATAGGGAGCCACTATATCACAAGCATACTCATGTTAATGAACAAGAGAGGATTAACTCTTTATAAATGCTATTGTTAGGCAGTTTTACAATTTTGCTAGCCAAAACACATATGTAAAGACTACATGGGGGAGTTCAACAGGGCCTAACGTGAGAAGGCCATAATGTAATATTTATATATGATTCTTAAATTCATAACTAGGTGAAATTAAATCTTTCTTTATGTAATAATAATGTATTTGTGGTGGATCAAACACTTTTAGAGTGATATGTGGTGCAAGATGGCTTGTTACTTGAAAATGATGACTCTGACTATATATTGCCATTCCCTTATTGACATAAAGACTTATGGCTTGCTTGAAGTCCCTTATGTTGAATTTATACAACACCTTCACAAATATGTGAACTTGCATATAATGCACAATCTAACAAGGATATATGTATGAGTGTAAAACAGAAATCCTAAGCCCCAAAGTGGAGCTAAAAGTGTGTTGAGTGGCACTGGTTGAAGTAGAAGTCCAACGAGCATAACATATTTAAACTAAAAGCTTTGGTTTAGAAAGTTGAGAGTGGGAGAAAAACTCCCAAAGAAATGTTCAATAAATAAGTATAAAGCGATCAATAAGTAAGTTTCTTAAAAGGGATATAAGAAGGACTAACACATGACAAGTGTTGTGACACGTGAAAGTGTCGGGACTGAGTCTGAGACCAAGTCCAAGACGGAGTTCAAGACCAAGTCTAAGATCAAATCTGAGATCAAGTTCGAGATCGAAACCGATATAGAGACCAAGACTAGGTCAAAGATGGAGTCCAAGGCCAAGTCTGAGTCTGAGATTGAAACCAAGACCAAGACTAAAACTAAGACTGAGTCCAAACCTAAATCCAAGTCCCCTGGTGAAAGCCCAAGTGATCTCTTACCAAACCTAGAGGGTTTAATAAATCCTTATAAAATAATAAAGGGAAGATTCAATGGAACCAATTTGGTTAGGGAAGGTTATTGTTACTGAGTGGATGTTACTATATGGTGGGTAATGATATGAACATTGAAAAGTCCAAAGCTAAAGTAAACATAGATGAACAAGTGAAGTGACATTGTGAAGAGTTCAAAAGTTAACTTTAGCTCTCCCAAAAGATCGAATAGTCAATACTCCTAATTCAAGTGTGAGTGGCATTCTTGGGGTAGTCTAATAATATTTTATAAATATGTTCTGCATAATGAGTTTATGAACTAGCGATTTCCGTAGAGGAGGTTATATGCTTGTGTTAAGTAAAATACAGAGCTTGTATCCATGGCCAGTTACCTATTTAGATACCTTGTATGGCTCATTGGAACTTTACTCTAGCTACATGGGTAAGGCACCCCAGTGGCAAAAGGTGGGGGGAGTACCTATGAAGCTTTTATTAAGCTATAGTGTTTTAAAATATTGTCCCAAAATTTTAAACTGTGGAAAGGAAGAAGAGTGGTCCCTTTACTTCATGACTAAGAGTATAATCACATGGTGATGAAGTCCCAAAAGTTAATGGGATTTAGTAGCTGAGCCATCATGCTTTATCCTAATGGCAGTGTTGGTGAGCATTACCATAAATGAAGGGGATTTGATGAAGATTGAAGAAGGGATATTGAGGGAGGGTGTTCTTTATATCTAAGGGCATCCTAAGGATGTTAAAGTGTGGACAGATGACCTAGTTTTGGAAAGATAGGACTGTGGTATAGGTGGTTTTAAACTACCAATGAGATACAAAAGAACAGACATAACCTTAATATAACAAGTTGAGATATCGATGGTATCTTTGGGTGTTTGAAGTAGAATCAAACATGTAGAACACTTAAATTAAGTGCAAAGTCGGGGTGGTTTTAAGATTACCTTTGAGGGTTAGCAAATTTCCCAACTTGGAATAAGGACTTATAAAGGTTGTGAATAATACTCCTCTAAGTGGTTAAAGGCATCGTTGAGTGACTAAAGTAGAGTAGAAAGATTAATCACTTACAATGAACATAGAACAAGTGATTTAGAGCCAAGATTCAAGAGATCAAGATGTCCTTATCCTTGGTGGTGGCTAGATGTTGCAAATATGACTTTAGGTATCGAAAGTTATTTGTCAGCTAGTCCTTATGGACACTCTTACCTTATTGCCATGATGGCAAGAGTTTGGTATTGTTGGTTTTCTTTATCAGCCCCTCTTGTTCAAGTGTTAGTAAACTGGGCTTAGCACCTATAGTTAGCCAAATTGTTGCGAATGTGACTTCAGGTATCGAAAGTTACCTGTTGACTAGTCCTTACGGACACTCTTACCTTACTGCCACGACGGCAGAAGGTCGGTATTGCTAGACCCTTCATTAGTCCCTCTTGTGCTAGTGGAGTTAATTGGGCATTTTGAGTATACTTAGATCGGACGAACATAAGGACGGAATTCCTACATGTTATTAGCTAAACATACTTAGCCTAGTAAGGAGTTCCTGTCTCGTTATATCTTGCACTGATTAGTGACAAGAACCCTCGCGTATTGAGATTAGTCCCTCAATATCGTTGGATGATAG